GTAGGGAAATTAATTCATTGAACTAATATATCTCACTATATTTTAAAAATAGTGACGGGGAAAGCACTTAACTTTTATTGAGTATTTGAGGATTTACCACAAACAAAGCCCAGCGCAAGGTGCTGTACTAAGATTATTGCATTGAATCCTCATTGTAAGGCTTCCGAGGGAGGCACTACTGTCCCCATTTTACATATAAGGAGACTGAGGCTGTGAGAAGTTGCGTAAGTTTCCCAAAGTCACATAGATAGTAAGATGGTATGATATGAACCAAGATAAGCCTCCAAAAGCTATTTACTTTATAATACATCATACTGTAAAATCCACTTTAAAAGCTATTGACTAGAATTTAAACTATTTGGGACCAAAGATCATGTCATTAAATTTTGTATACTCCTCAGGACATCATATAGTACCTTGTACTTGGTAGATACTCAAGAACTGTTTCTGGGTTGGTCACTCATCACAGTGGGTTGAAGAATAGAACATCAAAGGCACAAAGATGTATCTTATTTCCAAAAGAGAAAAAAAAAAAGAACTTCCTTCACATTCCTTAGAGGATATACTGTTCCTTGAGAGCAAAATTACAGAAAATCTTTTTAACAACCCCATATGCCTGGTTCAGAGGTTAAAGCCTGTACATATTATACAAGGGCTCCTAACAATGCACTTTCTGCATGATATTGACGTCTGCAAGATGAACAACCATGACTAGGTTAGTCTTGGTGGGGAACAAAAAAGCAGCTTGATATTTTAGAAATATGTGTGGTATATGACATAGTCAAAACCCAACAACTACACATCATTTTAAGGTATAAAAGGGGTATTAGAAAATACTCAGGAACATGTGTAAATGCTTAGACACGTGGCCCGACCCTCTGTGGTCCTTGTGGTTTTTTTCAGCTGGTGGCTGACACCTCCTTCCTCAGCACAGCCCGGCTTCTTCAGTGTGGAGAGCTGCGGAGCGGTGCTGTCTAAGGGGGGCTCCTGATGACGGCACTGCTCTAATATTCCAGCGTCACGGTCTTGGTTTTGAGGTATTCGTTTAGAGCTTCCTCACCTAGGGAAGAGAAAAGCAGCTGATGGACCACGTTCACAGGCGGATGTGATGTCGCCAGATCTTGGACACAGGTGCAGGCATATCCGTCACTAAGCGAATAGAATGGGGCTGAGGCAGTGCTTCTCAAACTTTAAATTTCATGTGAATCACGTGCAGACCTTGTGACACTGTAGATTCTGATTGGATTAAGTCCGGCAGAGGCCCCAAGATTATATGTTTCTAACCACTCCCCGATGATGCTGAGGCTTGTGGTGCACAGTTTGAGGAGCGAGGGTTTAGACCAGCTACCAGGCCTTCTAAGGACCAGAGTGTTGGCTTATCACTTTCTACCCCAAACCCTTCTCCTTTATTTCCCAGCTTGATGACAAATCTACATGTCTATTCCTTGCCCATTTAGGGTGAACAGAAGTGATCAGGATACTGTCCTTCTGATTACATTAAACGAAGCAGAATAGAGCAAAGAAAGTTTGAGATCATTTGGTCTCATCTTATTTTAAAGATAAGGGAAAGGCGGTTTTCCTGACTTACATAGTATGTTAGAGACACAGGGGCATATCCCGGAAAAAATAAATAGGTCTGCCTTTCTGTTTCTATTCTGTTCCTATTTTGAGCTACCACAATCATTGATTTCTACAACAGTTAAAGGGCATGAATACCACAGGTGAAACTAATGAGTATATGATTCTGGAAGTTGAGCTAAACCCAGGCTTCTTAATGTTAACTCAGAATCACCTTAGTGACCTTTTAAAATTCCTGATCCCAGGTCATACCTCAGACCAATTAAATCAGCATCTTTCCTTTTTTTCCTAAAGCTCCCAGGTAATTCTAATCCAATGTGCACCTGGGAACCAATGGGCTGAGGGAGTTTCAAATTAGGAGAGGAAGAAACTGTTAGACAAAGTCTACTGTTTTATAATAAAACAGACATGAAGTGCATCGATCATTCTCTATCAAAAGGCAAGTGGAACACTGTTGCCTCACTTTATAAAAATAATTTCCCTAAGAAAATCTCCCCATGTGTTTTGGATCCAGGGATGAAAGCCAGATTGAAGACATGAAAAAAAAAAGACTTCACCTTCAACTCAATGGAATTTAAAACGAGAGCCACTTTTATTGTTGCAAATACACTGCCAAAGTCTTTGGGAAAGAGAAAATGTAAAACTACCCCAAATTAACCCAATTTATGTTAGCAGACTGTAATTGCAGTAAATCACAAGCATTTCAATTTTTGAAACAACCTGCCAGACTGACTACGGGGCGTGAGAACATGGGCTGCACAGCCAACTGTCTGGCTTTGCATTCTCTTTGCCAGTGGCTGTCTGGCGGACTTTGGGCAAGTTACCCCAAATCTCTGAGCCCCATTTTCCTGGTCTGTAAAATAAAGATAATAATAGCACGTACACTCCCATGGCTATTGTGAGGACTGCCCGTGCTATGACAGGTAGAGTATCAGAATAGGGCCTGGTACATATTTACTGTTCAAAGTAAGCTGTAACTGGAAATGTGATAGTGTTACTGCCCACGGGGAATTACATTTTGGGCCCTCTGCAGACTCTCAATCTGAGCTCCCAGATGCCCAGAAAACTCTGCCAGTTTCAATGTTGTCTCTGAAAGACTGCCAGATGGCTCAGAGACAGGATTTATTCTTGGGGCTAGCTGGTTATTGCCTTCTATCCATTTTCCTTTCTTGGTTCCACTTGGTCCCATGACGTCTAAACCAAGTTCATGCTGAATGTCAGGTTAAAAAAAAAAAAAACAAACCTAACATATTTTAGCTAAAAGATATTGTCAGGGTTTTCTTTTCAACATGAATCTTCTTTCTTAAAAGGAAACACTTTTCCACACAATTTGAGTACTTTTCTATATTTACGTTATGTTCAATAAAAATGTTTAACTTTGAAAAAAATGAGTACCCTTGAAAGCCCAGATCCAACTGCCATGTAGGAAATGCCCTTTAAAGCAATACAAGAGTGTTGCATGAAGCATGAAGCGGACTATTCTGTGATGTGCAGTAGGAAGGTAAGGCATATTCATACCTAAGTCTTTTCCAAAGCCAGACTGCTTAACTCCACCAAAAGGGGCTGCCACATCCGTCTTGTTGTAGGTGTTAATAAAAACAGTTCCTGCCTCTAGCTTTTCACTCACATACATAGCTTTATTTATGTCTCTCGTAAAAACCCCTGAGGCCAAGCCATACTCTGTATTATTTGCTCGCTGCAATACTCCATCGATGTCCCTGCAAGATGTTTTTAGGAAGACATAAAACCTCATTAAATGCAAAAGCAAAACACTTTCATTTTCTGTTCTAATGTTTTTCCCCTCCATGCTAGAAACAGGAAAACATTACTGCCAATGTGCTTACATTTTTATAAATGAAATATTCCAGGCTTACACCAAAAGAAACTCCCAATGAAATACTACAACTCTAGTATTATATTTTTCACATATATCATGAAACACCTTTTAAAAGCTGAAGTCACCTTTTCAGGCTTCTTCATTGCTTCTCCTTCATGATTTACCCCATTTGTTTTCCTCTCCCTTGAGCTCCATTTACAGACATATTCTCAGAGCACCCGCAGTGCCCCTCCATCTATTCAGATTTTACATGCACATTTCAAGGCTCATTCACTCGATGCCTCACCCTGAAGCCTTCCCAGATCCCACCAGTGCCACTGTTTAGGCAGTGTAGTGTAGTGGCCCGGTGAGAAGGCTCCAAAGCCAGACTGCCTGGGTGACCTTGGGTGAATCATTTCATCTCCCCTGCTTTTGGTTATTCTTGTGAAAAAATGAAATAATAATAATAGCACCTGTCTTCTTGTCATGAGGATTAAATGAGCTAATAGTGTCTGGAGCACAGGAAATGCTCAATGAAAGTTAGCTATAATAGGGTAGCACATATTCCTCCAATTCAGTATTTTGGTTTACCTTTTCATGTATTTGGTGTTCACCCTCCAACTAGACTGGAACCTCCCTGAGGGCAGGGATAACATCTTGCTTTTCTGTATACTAGGGTGTTGCACCATCAAGTGAGAGTGAACGCAATTAATATGCCAATCCAATAAAAGGGTAGTAAAATCATCCCTTAAATGGGTCTGGTGACTTCCCTGCCTTTTGACTCAGTATGTGTACACACCAAGTAAGTGCAGATGTGAACCTGCTCTTCTCTCAGTTGGGTCCAGTTCCATCATGCCTGCCATAGTGTGAGTATCTCATCTTTATGAGTGTCATACTAATGTTAAAAAAAATGCATGAACTACAACATGGCCAGCAAATGTAAGCCAAGATTTTATCTGGGGCTCCGGCGAAGAAACACGATTTCTGTTCCAAAACTGGAGCAAAAATTAGTTGTGCTGAATTCTTTGAGAGACAGCATAGGCTTCAATGTGGTGTCTTCCCAAGGGATTTTCAAAGGTAATCTTAACTATACACAATCTTCAACTCTCATGAGAAATGTGGAATCTAACTTGGAAAGGACTGAGGCTCTGCTAAAACTCTCACACTTGATGCATTGCACCTGATTGCACTGTGAATACTTATAGCCTGGACCAAGGCCGAAAGACATCTGTATGCCATTGCCCATTGAGGACTACTGAGACGACATAGCTTCACAGCACACCTTGCCCACTTTTAGAATAATAATGAGTGTAATGACTTCAATGTCACCAACAGCAAACACTTGACTTATTTAACACTTAGAATGACCCAAAAAGGTAGATACTATTAATAACCCAACTTCACAAATAGATAAAGTACACAAATAGAGAAACTTAATAGAGGAATTAAGTGGCCCAAGCCCACAGAGGTGGTCAGTGCAGATGCTACCTACTACACCTCCCACCTAGGCCCTCTGGGGTTAATTGCCCGTCTCCCTGTCTGTCTCCCCTATTAGATGGTAACCTCCTTGAGGACAGGAACTGTGACTTATCTAGGCTTACATCCCCTAAAACTGGCTTCTAATATCTGCACATTTAACACAAGGACCATCCTATGGGGGAACTTATAATAAGGAAAAGACGGTAACAGGGCATCCTTGGATCAATATGTCAAAAGGTTACTCACTACAGTTTAGTGTCCCCAAAGGTCTCTCACAGTATGTCTGTTCAAGACCAAGAAGTCCTTCTGAACTCTGTATTCTGTTTTCTCATTGGTTAAAGGAAAACTAAAGCCAGAATTCTGAAGAATTGTGTGCAGTATACCATGAGAGTCTATTGTGTTAAATATTCTGATATGAGCTCAGTTACCATACGGCCCTCTTTGATATGCTAAACACTGAGCATATCAAAATTTCAGGCACCATAACAAACGAGTATGTCATTCACGGTTGATTATATGGTGATTGTGGACATTTCTACAAAGAGTTGAGTATTAGGCTTTTGGGGGCATGATCCCCTATGGAGAAAACACTCTTTCTTTGGGAAAATCAGATTTCATAGATGCTGCCTTCCCTAGAAATGTAAATGCGAAAACCAGTTCTGTTATTCTCAGTTACTGACCTTATTCCAGAGACATTTCAAATGCTGACTGTACAAAAACTAAAACTTAGCGAACGTCCCATAATGTCAGCCATTAATTTAAGGAGCAAAAATATATTACAATCTACATTGGTTAGCATTCCCTTCTAATTATTAAGACAATTATTCTTATGGTAGAAAATTATATGTTCATTGATTTTATGCTCTGTACATAGCACAATGACAGAAAAAAGAAAAGTAGGCAATCCGGTCAAATTATGCCTGAGGAACATACCCATTTTGGAATTTAGAAATGACCATAATAGGCCCGAATGACTCCTCTTTGGCAAGATACATGTGGTCTTCCACATCTGTGAAGACAGTAGGTTCCATAAAAAAGCCTATTTGAAAAACAGAAGAAAATAACATCAATTAATGGGTAATTTTCAATTAGTAGTTCTCTCGTTTAATTACATTATAAATTTTTTTCTTTTGTTATGGGTCAGTAAACCAAGAAGACTTTCATTTTCCTATTTGGTGTTAGCATTCCTAGGTTATTATATTTTTAATGTCCTTATTACAAAACTTTCAAACATATGTAAAAGTAGAGAAAATAGTATAATGAATAGTAAAATAAATCTTTATGCATATTTTGCCGTATTTGATTCTTTTTTTTCTTGCTGAAATAGTTTAAAGCAAATTCCAGAGATTACAATTTATACTCCACAAGTATTTCGGTACAAACCTGTGAAAAACAAGGACATTTTATTACACACCACAATACATTACCACACCTAACAAAATTAACGCCAATTCCTTATTCATAGTTTATATTTCAATTCCTTTTTTTAAGTTCCAATTTTTTAATTGAGATGCAATGACATATAACATACTAGTTTCAGGTGTACACCATAATGATTCGATACTTGTATTCAATTTCTGATTTCTGGAAAATATCTTTTTATAGTTGACTTGTTTGATTCAGAATTCAAATAAGTTCCACACTGCATTTGGTTGTTAGATAGCTTAAGGGTCCATTAACTCTAGAATATTTTTCCCCTTTACCCTGCCCCTTATTTTTCATGCCATTGACTTGTTAAACAGACTGGTTCAGTTGTCCTGCAGAATATTTTATGCACTTCAGATTTGTCATTGCTTCTTTGGGATGATATTTAATTTGTTCCTCTATCCCCTGTATTTCTTGTAAATGGAAAATATGACCTAAAGGCATGATTAGATTCATGGTTAAACATCTTTGTGAAGAATACTTCATAGACGATGCTGTGTTACACACTGGATCCCACAGGGGGCACATCATAACCAGCTGTCCTGCTGGTGCTCAATCTACCTACAACAGTAAAACATGAGGTTTTCCAGTTGTTGTTTGTTTGTTTTTCTCTCCTTTTGGGTATCATGACATTGAGCCATTCACATATTTCTGTAACAAGTACTACCTTAGACAACAGGAATGAATCCTTCCCAGGCTAAGCTGGCTAAGATTAAATCTCACATTGCCAGGAATGAAAATCACCAGTGCCTGAATAACACCGTATCCATTACACTTGTTTACTTACTCAGCTAAGGGCCTGTCACATCCATTTTATTTGATTTTAACGGCCTCGTAAAGCAGGATATGCACATTTCATCACATTTTACAACTGAGGCTCAGAAGAACTGTTGCTGAAGGTGTCACAGCTTATAAGTGGCCAAGCAGGATCTAGAAAGTAACTCTTCTTATCATAACGTAAATGACACTACTTTTGAGGCAAGATGGTGCTGCAAAGAAAACTGTTACCATTTATTCCAACTTAAGAAGCCAGGCCCCCAGCATACCTCCTATGGAGGTGGTCTTACCTGGCCTTTGGACTTGTCTTCCTCCGTACACCAATGTGGCCCCCTCTTTCACTCCGGCTTCACAGTACTGCAGGAGCTTTTCCAGATGGGCCTTATGATTTTGGGGCCCGTGATCAGTAGATCTGTCAAGTGGATCACCAATTTTCATCTTTTTAATTTCTTCCACCTGTATGTCACCCAGTTCACAAAACACAATTGACTGTTAATAATAAGAATGGATACCCTTGACCGAGTTTCTACTGTGTGATAGGTGTTGTACTAAGCCATTCAAAGATGTGTCCTCATTTAGTCTTCAGTAGCACTGGAGGTAGATATTTATTATTTCCATCTCATATGAGGAAACCAAGGATCAGAAAGGCTGAGTGACTCGCCCAAGGGCACACAGCCACTAAATACTGTAGAGTTTTCTTGCCTTGAAAGTCCAAGCTTGTAACCACTGAGTTTTAAAATTATCCCGAATGTTAATTCATTAAAATAGCAAACCTGATGTTCTGGAATTTTTGTTAATACAGCATACCTACACTCTTCATGGCAGAATAATTTCTAAAATGGCCACATTGTTGTCTTTTTCCTTTCCCCAAGTGTGGCAGACTGCCCTTGTGAAATTCTCACAGTACAGCCACACCAGAGGATATACTAGAATATTCCAATGAAAAACCATCTTTATCAAAGAACGTTCATCACTGATATGTGCTCCTTGGTTATCTTAATCTATTTCTGCGTTTCCTGATGTTAAGTCCATTTCTACTAAGGAGAAAGAAAGGGAGTTACCATGACCCCACAGGGTCATGAATTTGAGTTTAGGTCTGGCAATAATCCCTCAGTAATTGCTCAAGAAATACCTGCTAAACGAACAAATGAATACTGTTCATATGTGTGCAAAACATGTTTGTTGATGGACTGATACAGCAAATCCTTGACATTTCTGGTACCAGCATTTTAAATTTCAACAAGTTGTTGTGAAAGCCCATGACGTGTAGTGCTGTACCTTGCATTTTACTAAGGCACAAAACTGAATTATGGGGATGTTCATTAGGCAGCCACTGCCTCTCCATATGACTTCCTTGTTTTCCACTCCCATGAAGAAAGATGCCTTTGCTTCTTGCGGGGTGGGATGGGGGAAAGAAGGCTGGGTGCTGGTTTTTTAAATAGAAACAAATTCGTGATTACTATTACCATAATAATGATAGAGTGTAGTATGTTTTTTTTACTTAATTAATTAATTTTATTTTTGGCTGCATTGGGTCTTCGTTGCTGTGCACGGGCTTTCTCTAGTTGCGGCGAATGGGTGCTACCCTTTGCTGCGGTGCGCGGGCTTCTCATTGCGGTGGCTTCTCCTGTTGCGGAGCACAGGCTCTAGGCGCGCAGGTTTCAGTAGTTGTGGCACGCGGGCTCAGTAGTTGTGGCTCACAGGCTCTAGAGCGCAGGCTCAGTAGTTGTGGTGCACGGGTTTAGCTGTTCCCCGGCATGTGGGATCTTCCTGGACAAGGGCTCGAACCCGTGTCCCCTGCATTGGTAGGCAGATTCTTAACCACTGAGCCACCGTGGAAGTCCCTGTGTAGTATGTTTAGAGCTCATTTTAGCCACAGAATTCATCTTAATAGTTATATGAATGACATTTAGTCTCATATTTATGGAATCATGCCCAACTACAGGGGGTACGTATGTATGTATGTATATATATATCTATCTATCTATCTTAGTGAAGGAAATTATATACTATCATTTAACTGTAAATTCAGGATTTGTAAGAATCTAGTGGTATATCTCTCATAGCCAATTTAGGGATTTATAATAATCTAGGAGTATATCTTCTACAAATATCAAGGATCTAATATACTATAAATGCAGAGCAAGGTATAGGTAGTAATAGCTCTTAACTATACCTTATCAGGTTTTCTAATATAGACCTATAACTTTTTACTATGAAAAATTATAGGGAATTCCTTGGTGGCTCAGTGGTTAAGAATACACCTGCCAATGCAGGGGACACGGGTTCAAGCCCTGGTCCAGGAAGATCCCACATGCCGCGGAGCAACTGAGCCCATGCACCACAACTGCTGAGCCTTCGCTTTAGAGCCTGTGCTCTGCAACAAGAGAAGCCACCGCAGTGAGAAGCCCGTGCACCACAACAGAGAGTAGCCCCTGCTCACTGCAACTACACAAAGCCCACGCGCAGCAACGAAGACCCAACGCAGCCAAAAATAAATAAATAAATAATTTTTAAAAAGAAAAATTATAAACATATAAAAGTAGGTAAATAATATAATGAAACTCCACATACCCATCAGTCAGCTTCCACAACTGCCAACTCATGACCAAATTATTCCCCCACTTACTTCCTTCCCTTTTGGATTATTTTGAAGCAAAGTCCAGATATCATAATCTAATCTGTAAATATGTCAGAAAGTACTTCTAAAAGATAAGGATTGTGTTCTTTTTAAAAAATATAACCATAGCACTATCATCACATCTAAGTTCATTAATAATCCCAGAAGTACTTTTAAAGTAAAGGCAATTTCTATACAAATCACAGAGCAAATTTGAAGACGCTTACCACTCTTGTCACAAATTCATCATGGATGGATTCTTCCACAAACAACCGACCAGCTGCAATACAGTTCTCTCCTTTGTTGAAAAACACTGCTCCCATGCCCTTCGGCAGCAAAAGAGAAAATACTGTTATTGCTTGGGAAGTCAAGATTATCATAAAATTGCACACACTGAGAATTAGATGTTATTGGAAGACAGCAGACAACACAGAGAAGACAGAGAAAAACACAAGCCCTTGGCCAAGTTAGTGTTGCTTGGAGATTCTTGGTTTTGATATTTTTAGGAATTTTGCTTCTCCTTTCCCCCTTTTGGTCCATGAGTACTTAAAAAAAAATGTACATAACATGAAGGACATAGTGATAAAAACAGATTTTGTGTTACAAGAAAATTTAGATTATTCTATACATTTTGTGTGTGTGTGTGTGTGTGTGTGTGTATGTGTGTGTGCGGTACGCGGGCCTCTCACTGCTGTGGCCTCTCCCGCCGCGGAGCACAGGCTCCGGACACGCAGGCCCAGCGGCAATGGCCCACGGGCCCAGCTGCTCCGTGGCACGTGGGATCTTCCCGGACCGGGGCACGAACCCATGTCCCCTGCATCGGCAGGCGGACTCTCAACCACTGTGCCACCAGGGAAGCCCGTTATTCTATACATTTAAATGTAATATTTCTATACCAAATTTTGCTTTAAAAAATCTCTACATCAGTTTAAATAAATCATGAATGTTTATAAATCTCTACATCAGTTTTAAAAACCTGGCCTCCAAGTTTCAAAAACACATTTAATTATAATGACATTATTTTTTTTAATTAAGTGCCCTGAGCAGTCCCAAATCTAAACATAAAGAGAATGGTTTCTGTTTATGATCAGATAGAACCAAGCGTTGGGCTTCCCTGGTGGCGCAGTGGTTGAGAATCTGCCTGCCAATGTTGGGGACATGGGTTCGAGCCCTGGTCTGGGAAGATCTCACATGCCATGGAGCAACTAGGCCCGTGCACAACTACTGAGCCTGTGCTCTAGAGCCTGCGAGCCACAACTACTGAGCCCGCACACCACAACTACTGAAGCCCACACACCTAGAGCCTGTGCTCCATGACAAGAGAAGCCACCACAATGAGAAGTCCACACACCGCAACGAAAGTAGCACTCGCCGCAACTAGAGAAAGCCGTGTGCAGCAACGAAGACTCATTGCAGCCAAAAATAAAATCAATTAACTAATTAAATAAAAATAAAATAAAATAAAATAAAAAACCCAACCAAGCGTCATTCTAAGTTTCCTGATGAGAAGGTGGTAGAATGTGTTTCAGAAGTGGGCACCTAGTTAGGTGGACTTGACCTACTCTTACCATTCGTACGGCCTTGTCAAGTTCACAGTCACTGAATATTATAAGTGGGGATTTGCCACCAAGTTCAAGGGAAACTTTCTTCAGGTTGCTCACAGCACAGCTAGAGAAAAATAAAGGGAATATGAGCATTTAGTTTGTCTATCAGTTTCTCTCTCTGTTTCTTCAACCATAAATTACTACTTAGCATGGGAAATATAACTGAGTCTCAGAAATACTAAGAAACTTATTCAAAGACAAAACATGAATGGTAGAATGGTGATAACAGTTGAAGCTGGGTGATGAGCACGCAGGAGTTCATTACACTATTCTGTAAGCTTTGTGAATATTAGAACTCTTCTGTAATAAAAACTGTTTTTTTTTAAATTCTGTGGTCAAATGATTAGAGATTATCATAGGTAAATTCAGATTCTTTAGGTGTTAAGAATTTTGGTTACATAAAGGCCTGGCAAACAACTTAACCTTTAACCAGATTACTGGCACATCGGGGGGAAAAAAATCAATTTTTAGAAGTATACTGTTTATTTCTCCCTGTTTGCAGAAGTATTATTATTTAAAGTGTTTTAAAAATACTCTTAAAAATTCAGAAAGAAGGAAAAAAATCACAGAATTCCCCTCCATGGCTCAATGGCCCCTTTTTTTTTTTTTTTTTTTTTTACCATTTTGATATACTTATTTCTGGTCTGTGTCCAAGCACAGCCTTTGTCTTATTTAACATAGTTAGGATTACCCAATATATACAATTTTATACCTTATTTTTCTTTCTATTTACCGTTTAACACTCCAATGTTATTAAAAAGTCTACGTGACTGCACAGTATTCCATTATGTTAACAAACTTTAACCACTGCCTTATTTTGGACATTTAGATGGTTTGCATTTTTTTGAACTAATGTTACTGCTTTTTAGGAATTAATTTTATAAATAATCCAGATTTGAAATGTCTTTTCAATTTCTTACTTATGCTCCAAAACCAATTTGGGCTACAGCTTTAGTACTGAAAATGTTTTGTGCTTAATGATTGTTAAAGCTATCAGAACTTTCAGTACAACTCTGGTTTTGGTGACTCTGGGCTTTACACTTTGTAAAGTATTTTATTGTATTCAAACATTTCAATACCCTGCTGTGGTAAGATTTCTCTTCTAAATTCGATGTTATTTTTCTCCCTCCAAAAGCACCTTATTTAAAAAAGCAAAAACAAAGCCAAATACCTGGTTTTACAGGATTTTTAGCAAATCAACACACTAAAACCAATACCTCTTCATGATCTGTTTGCCAATCAGAGTGGAACCAGTGAAACCAAGTTTGCGGATATCAGGATGTTCAGAAAGGCGCTGTCCTGCTATGCCACCTGTGGAATTACGGAACAAAACAGAGATTAAAACATTATCGAGTTCTTATGGTAAAGGTGGCTTTGAATTCATTGAAGTAGATTTCTAAGCTCTCATCTAAATCTCAGTTTTACATTTTCTATACTAATAACAAAGTGACAAAAATCTGAATAATATCCTCCATGCAATTGTCAGTACCCCAAAGATGGGTATGCCTTGATTTTTTAATCTTCCAAAGCGAATTTTAAAAATTGAAATGGGCCACCGTAGGGTGGTTTTACAATGTTGTACAATTTCCACCCCTCCCACCCTACTCATCTGCCACTGTATTTCCACTTTCAGATTTTAGCACATGGTAAGTATGTTTATACTAAACTGTTTGGTAAACTGTGTTTAGTTTTAATATAGTTATAAGTCAGGACAAAACACCAGTGGGAAAACTCAGCTACCCTTGAACCATTCATTAGTTACAGCAAAGTGGGTCCTTGCTGGCTTACCTGAGCCTGGAATGATGTTGATTACCCCCTTTGGAAAGCCTGCTTTAACAGAGAGCTCTGCAAACTTCAAAGCAGTCAAGGGCGTGACCTGAGCAGAAGCAGACAGCAATTACCTACTTCAGATTCTGTCCTGTCCTTTAGATCAGCACCCAGCTTTCCTGCTATGGCCATACCAGAGTTCATTTTATTTTTTCTTTTATTGTGACGTAATTTCTGACTTACAGCAAAGTTGCAAAAAATAGTACAAACAATTCCTATGTATCCATCACCCAGATTCCTCAAATGTTAACATTTTACTATGTTTGCTTTATCCTCTTTCTCTCTCCCAATGTTTTTGAACTGTTTAAGAAGCAAAATTTGATGTGTCCCTTTACCTCTAAATACTTTTGTGTACATTTCTTAAAAACAAAGGATTCTTTTACATAACCACAATACAATCACCAAAATCAGGAAATTAACAACTGCTAGAATACCTAATTTACACTCCTTTTTCAGTTTTCACCAATGGTCCCAATAATGTGCTTTATAGAAAAAGAAAATCCAAGATCATGCATTGCATTTAGTTACCACGTCTATAGTTTCCCTTCCTCTGAAAGAGGTTCTGAGTTTTCTTTTATATTTCATTACACTGACGTTTTCGATAAAAACAGACCAGTTATTTTGTACAATGTCCTTTTGTCTGGATTTGCTGTTTCCATGTGATTAGATTCAGGTTATGCACTTTTGGCAAGAACACGACAGGAGTGATGCTGAATTCTCCTCAGTGCATCATATCAAGAGGAACATGCTGTTGAATAGCCCCAATGTTGGAAAGGTTAACTTTGCTCCTTTGGTAAAGGTGATCTACCAGGTTTTATCACTGTAAGTTACTGTAAAAAGAAAGGGAGCTACTTTGAGACTTTACTCTTTGTAGTTAATAAATATTTTTTAGGGAGCTACTTTGAGGCTATTTAAATATTCAGTTACTCCTCAAATTTCCACTAGTTTTAGTATCCATTGATGATTCCTACCTGAAACAATCATTATTATGATGGTTGCTAAGTGGTGATTTTCTAATTCCATCATTCCTTCTACATATATTCATTAGTTGGCTTTCCACTATAAGAGCTTTCCTTTCTATTTAATCAATTAACATCAGTGTGAACTCATGGATTCTTACTTTATTCAAATGGTTATAATCTTTTACTACTGTTACTTTTTTTGAGGTTCAAATTGTTCCAGCTTTGGCTGATGGATTCTGTGTGGATCCTCTGCCTTTCTGACATGTCCCGATCATTCTTTGAGCATTTCCTTGCTTTTTGGCCCAGCAAGATGTTCCAGGCACACCTTGTATTTTCCCTGTTCCAACCATTTTTTCAAGAGGCCCAGGTTTCTTTTAGTGCAGAATAGTATTTTAAAACTGTGATATAATGGGAAATATATATTTGGTCTTTGTCTCTGGGTCCTGGCACAGAGTTCCTAAAACCTTGGAATCTCAAATGAAAAATGCCTTCCATATACTGATGAGGTGGCTGGGAGCCCCTTAGGTAGCTTCAGGATGGGTTTTTGTGGCCAGAAAGATCAGGCCATGATTAGAGAGTTGGAACTTTTAGCCCCAAACCAGGGGAGAGGGGCTGAAGTTTGAGTTCAAACACCGACAGCCAATGATTTAATCAGTCGTACCTATGAAATGAAATTTCCATAAAAACCTCACAACAGTGGGTTGAGGGCTCATTCTATCCTTCTTTCTGTTCATATCTGTAACTCTCTTCAACAGTGAAAAACATAGCTCCCAATATCCACAATATATTTACTTGTTTGCTTAATCCTAAAATGTACAGAGGGTAATTTGAGAATTATTAAGCCATGTCCCTGTGAAAAAGAAGCCTACTAACTTCAATACTTATTTTCAGTGTTTTTGCCTCTAGTCTGAGGACACAGAGTGCAAATGTCATTTACCAGTTACTTGGGTGAGTGCTTCCTCATTCCCTTCGGCGTGGTGATGGTGTTCATTTGAAATTTGGCTTGAGTGATTTTTTTTGTATTCGATTTTGGCCTCATCTACGTTGATTATGTTTCTTTTCTTTATTTGTTCATTTGCTGTCTCGTTGAGTACGGGAAACGTGCTTCCAAAAGTGAGGACTATACAAAAGCACATTCAGAGAAGTGTCGTTCTCCTGGCCAACCACCTCCCACCCCTAGTCCTTTCCACCGCATCTTCCCCAAGTCTTGTAGTTAACCTAATTAGTCAACCTAATTAGTCTCCGGTTTATCCCTCATATGTTTCTTCTTGCTCAAATGAAAACATACTTATTTTCCCTTTCTTTTTACAAAAAATTTGGTATAGTTATGGATCTCATTTTAAAGATCTATTACAGCAATGCATATCTCAGAAGCAAAATGAAAGTCATATTTTTACACTCTTAAAAAGCAATGCTGATCAAGTCTTAAATTAGTACTCGCTTAGCTTGGTCTCAAAAAATGGAATGGGCAAAAATTGAGCTGTGAATAGAAAATAGTAGAGTTATTTTATTTTGTATATTTTAACGGAAGAAGATGTGAAATAAATCAAACATAACTAACATTTATTATGTGGCTGGATAATGGTACTCTCACTCTGTCTGAATGAAGGTCAGATGGTCACTGGTCACAGAGGTACGTGTGGTATCCTAGGAAAGAATAGGAGCTCACAAGGCCAAGGGGAAAACAGTGGTTTGCTCACTTGCTCCTGTGCTTTCAGAATATTGCCGTGTGTTGACGTTTACAGGCCAGGTTGCATGGGTTCATAGACTATGCTGTTGTTTTAAGTAATGCAAACTTCATAAAATGATCAAGTGACTTAAAAAGAATCTACATAGAAACTGCATAATAAATAATACTAATAGAGCGAATACAAGTAAACAACAAGAAAAAAGCAGGGTTAACATTTTTCCTCCTTCTAGTAACAGGTCCATGACAATAACATTGTGAGGTTTAAAAAAAATGGCAATCTAGTTAGACTTGACAAGAAATTTCAAAGGCCCAAATATTTGAAATTGTCAAGAAGATATTTCAAATTGTGGATTTATACCTACTATAGTTAAAGACAATCCTAGACCAAAGTGTATATTATTATGCTTTAGTATGAAGTCATCATGATTAGAAAGACTTTTTAAAAAACTATCCTAAATTAGTGATAAGTTTTTTAAAGTAAGAATAAAAAGATTTTATGCCATTGATAAATAAAATAAAACAAACTGTTTCATCTTTATCTCATCCCTTTTCATTTTATTGATTTTCTTCCATTCGGCTAACCAACTGGAATATAGATTTATATTATGGCAGGATTATAGGTTTAAATGATATATGCAAAAGCATTTAGCAGTGTTCTGGGCACGAGTAGGTCATTATTAAATATTATATTTAAAAAGGTGTTAGAGCCTGACAGACCTGGGCCAGTTCAGACCACGGGAATCTGTACTTCTTACTGGTAAAGGGGGGAAAAGCCAACTGATTCAGCCCTCCTGCCATTTGCACAGGGCCTTAATACTATCAATGGTTTCATATCATAATAAAAAGATATCTCCCACATAACAATGGCAACTTTGGGTCTTTCATTCTCAGGATTAAAATTATCATCAATCATTAACCTATCAGTTTTAAATTGCATATAGAGCTAGACTGTAATTTCCACAGGAACAGAAATTTTATGTCTTTGTCACTGATAATATGCCTGGCAAACAGTAGGCACTCAATACATGTTTGTAAATTTTGAACATTCTATGTAATCACTAGGGTTTTCCAATGCTTAGCACTCTCTTTGGATGCCATATAGTGGTTCTCAACCCTGACTGTACCTTAGAAACTAATGTGAAGATTTTAAGTAATACCGATGCCTGGCCTCTGACCCAGACCAATTAAATTAGAATCTCTGCCAATGGGGCCCAGATATCAGTATTTTTAAAAGAGAACTCCAGATGATTCTAATGTGCAGCCAGGATTGAGCACCACTGGGCTAGGTTATCTGCCTTCTCTCTTCACTTTACTAGCTTCTTGCTGTTTAATGAGTGTTACTGCTTGGGAGAAACAGCACTCATACAGGATGCTGGTGAACTGTTCCATTCCCATGGAAGGATGAGCCAGCAGCTATCACACAAACACATGTATCTTTTAACTAAGTGATTCTGCTATTAGGAACATACCACCCTATAAAGATAATTGCACATGTGCATGATGCCATATTTAAAAGGTTATTAACTGCAACATAGTTTATAACAGCAAAAAGATGGGAAAATCTCAATATCTATTAATTAGGTATTGGTTAAATAAAATATTGTTTATCTACACACTGGAAACTGTTTTAAAAAAAGAAGTTTTGGGGACTTCCCTGGTGGTCCAGTGGGTTAGACTCCGAGCTCCCAATGCAGGGGGCCCGGGTTCGATCTGTATTTGGGGAACTAGATCCTGCACGCATGCCGCAACTAAGAGTCCGCATGCCGCAACTAAAAGATCCCGCATGCCGCAACTAAGACCCGGCACGGCATAAATAAATAAATACATACGTACATATTTTAAAATTTTAAAAAATTAAAGAAAAATTGCTTAACACAGCATGTGGCACATACTAAGTGCTCAATAAATATATTTTTTTAAAAGTTATTTTTCCCCCTTTGGTAGTATGTATAGAATGCTATTTTATTTTATTTTAATTTTGTATTGTATTATGGTTAGAACACTTAACATGACATCTACCCTCTTAAATTGTTAAGTGTACAATACAGTATAGTTAACTACAGGCAAAATGATGTATAGCAGATTTCTAGAACTTACTCATCTTGCATAATTGAAACTTTATGCCTGTTGATTAGCAATTTCCCATTTCCCCTTCTCCTGTGTGATTTTTAATTGGTTAAAAAATATTTTTTTAATTATTTATTTATTTAATTTAAAAAAGATGTTTGTATACACAGAGAATACTTCTGGAATACCTAAGAAACTAATAAAAAACAATAACATTGGTGGCCTCTGGGAGGTAAATTGGTGGGCTGGGGGAATAAGATGGAGACTTTTCACTATCTACCTCTTGGTATCTTTTGAATTAAAAAAATTTTTGAATGTATACCTGTTTTTTTTACTGAAATTGTTTTTAATGAGGAAAACAAGATGGCTGTGGTCACATGACTATGTAGTTATGACAATTGAAATTGTATTTTTTTTAAATCCTAAAAGAAGAAATAAAAGAATAGTTAATAAGTAACAAACTGTAAACTCTTCTTGAATAGAGACCAAGTTTTCTCCACAACTTGGGTACCTCAGAATGTCTACCACTGTGCACTGTCCAGAGTAAATGCTCAGCCAGGTGTTAAGTTGGCTACCATATGTTTTTCTTGAAAAGCTACTGTAGCATTAAAAAGATGTTTTTGAGAACTCTATCATCCGAATTATTTTTTTAATTATTTTCTCATTTTCCACATGTATATATTTCCACACAGCTGCCACAATTATATACATTCTTTTGCATGCTTGTCCCTCATCTTGCATAACTTTACAATATTTTTGATAATGAAAATTTGAATGCCTGCAAAAAACTTTTTCTTTTGATATGTTGTAGCTACTCTAAATCACTACTGGGCATGTGGCATTTTGCAAGAATTGAATTGGTTTGTAGAAATGTAATGGATTTCACTGACATACACTATGCCTGCTTCCACCGTCATGGAAGTTCTAAATTTTGGAATCCCCATAGGATACACTGGGTAGCTATTAAAAATGAATATTTACTAATATGAAAAGATGCCCATGATATATGAAATGATGTTGTGATATATGATCCCATTTTTGCTTAAAGACATAATATTTGTAAATGTATGTCTCCGGTTTTAAGTAAACGGGAGAGGAGGAGATGCTGTACCTTGCCCCGCGCGTCTTACCTGCGCCGGCTTGAGCACTAAGGTGTTGCCTGCTGCCAAGCACGCGGCGCTCTTCCACGCCAGCATCATCAGTGGGTAGTTCCAGGGGATGATAATAGCACAGACACTGCCGGGGAAGAAAGAGACATCCTCAGTCCTCTCGAACTAACACAAGTCACTCAGAAGCGCTCTCCTTGTCTTACCCAAGTGGCTCCTTCCTGGTGAAGGTCAGATTGCGATTTGGACGGGCCTGGTTGATGGGAATTGTAGAACCCTAAAGAATGAAAAAGGTTGATACTATTTTACTAATTTCAGTGGGTAAACTTAACGAATCCATTTTCCGTCTGCCTCTCTTGCTTTTTCTTAGCTAATATTAAAAAAGCAGTGCTCAATTTATGAGAAATACATCTACACCTAAAAAGGAACTGCTATGTCTTTCTCAAAAGAACTGAGACACAGGAGAAAAAAAAACATAATGCTAATTTAATCGCCTCCATTCCCAATTTCTTGGCATGGCAGAGAATGTTAACTGCCTGAGCAATATCCATTCTCCCCTCCGTTCTTAGTAACAGAAACCCTATATTAATAATGGGAATGGCAACATGCCCAGATAAACTACTACGTTCCCCAGTTTCCATAGCAGATAGGGATGGCCAATGGAAGACATAAGCACAAAGCACTGAGAGGGGAACACTCTTTAAAGTAGGCTGACTGCTCTATTTGCAAGTTAGCCCAATCATAAAATTCTAGACCTAAATGTAAAAGCTAATCTATAAAAACATCTACAAAGAAACACAGGCGAAAATCTTCATGATTTGGGGGGAGGCAAGGATTACTTACATAAGACACAGAGCATAAAAGTCATAAAAGAAAAATTTATAATTGAAATACATCAAAAATAAAAACTTCTGCTTTTCAAAAAACAGCATGAAGGAAATGAAAAGGTGGACCACAGACTGGGACAAATATCTGCAAAACAGGTCAATGACAAAGGACTTGTGCCCGGGATATATAAAGAAATTGTACATATAATAAAAAAAAAGATAAGCAACTCAATTTTTTAAATGGGCAAAAGATTTGATCAGACATGTCACAAAACATAATATATGCAAATCTCTCTCTCTTTCCTTCTCCCTTCTCAGAATGTTGCTAAAAAGGCTGGCACTGCAGTGGTTATCATGAGACCAAGAAGCAGCCATGAGGGTAGAGATCATATGGTATAAGGATGCCCTGGCAAAGAAAGAGCAGGAATCTTTATTTCACACACTGGACTTGACTGCCTGCCTTTGGACTCTTGAAAGTGAGATAAAAACAAACTTCTTAGTTGGGTTTTCTATTATATGCAGCCAAATTTGATCCCAACTGATTCATGACAGTAGTCTTTAACTGAAGCTATACATCTGTTTTGCCACATAAAATATTATTGCTGTTACTAATACAAGTAAGTGTACAGTCTCTTATCTGAAACCCTTGGGGCCAGGTGTGTTTTGGGATTCAGAATTTTTTGACTTTAGAAACATAATATAATGTATATACCTTATACAATGTTATTATATCTATAACCTCCAATAAGGTCTGGGGAAGCCCCCCATAATCAAGCATATTAATATTTATTCAGTGAAATATATGAATATTCACTCTAAGTGATATGAATACAGATTATAGACTCATCTTGGTTCAGGTCAGGTTTTGGCGCCAAATGAGTCTGAACCAATCAAACAAATCAATTTTCAGGTTTCACAGCAGTTTGGATTTCATAATTGAGGATGAAGGATGGACTTGGACTGCTCTTACTAAATACTTATATATGTATGATTTTGTGGCTGAACAATAATAAAAATGACATTTATGTGCAAGACCTACTATGGTGCAGACTTTAATCCTGTAGTATATAAACACTTGTTTCTAATCCTCATAACATAACTTGCAAGGTATGGATTATTGTGACCATTTTACAGACGAGGAAAGTAAGGCACAGAGAGGTAAATAACTTTAACAACAATAGCTGGTAAGTGTCAAAGCTGAGGCTTGGAACCAGTTCTCTCTGACTCTATGTTAATGGTGTTGGCGGCAATGTGCCCAGATAAAATATTAGGTTTCCCAGTCTCCTTAGCAGAGACAGCCAGTAGGAGATGTAAGAACAAGGTGTAGGAGGATCGGAATGCTTTTTAAAGTCCTTTACCTTTCTCCCTCTTCCCCACTTCCTCCTTGCTGCTGGGAATGTGGTTGTGATGGCTGGTGCTTCAATGGTTACCATGAGTCTATGAGTGGCATGCATTCTTTTGTTTGCTGCAAGCCCTATTTCCCTTCTGTATCCCAATACCAAAGCCACGTATAGTTGCTATTTATCATCACACATGTAATATTTATTTTCTTGTAGAAAAAAGGAAATGGAAATTTTTATTGAACTCATGTCTTTAAAATCTTGTTCTTATAACCAGTCTGCATAGCCCATCTATGTTAGCTCTCTGACCTCTATAGGATTTGAGTTTTCAATTCCTCCATGATACCAGGCTTCTCTCTATATGCCAACAAGACTGTCAGATGCTCTCAAGAGCATTAGATTTTAGGTTCAGAAAATCTTGAGTTCAAATCCTAGCTCTATGGTTTACTTACTGTGTGACCATAGGTAAGTCATTCATTGTCCTCAAGCCTCAATTTCCTCACCTGTAATAAGAGTTAATAGATATCCACCTACCTTAGATGATTGTTATAAGGATAAGATGAGAAAACCTACATAAGGGGTGGCTCTGACAGTGTCTTTACAGACTAATAAACATTCATCCCTTTTCCTCTTGGAATGATCTACATGGAGACAAACAACATTTGCACTTACTTGAATTTTGTCACACCAGCCAGCAAAATATCTGAATGTTTGCACAGACATTCCAATGTGAGTCTTCAGAGCCAAGGTGTAGACAGCCCCTGAATCGAGGGCTTCGATGGTTGCCAGCTCTTCTTGGTTCTCTTCCAGTAGGTCTGCCAGTCTGTATGCATAAAGAAATTCATTCAACAAATATTGAGTCTCTACTGCATTTCATGCATCATCCTAAGGGCTGAGAACTCGGAGGCGAACACAAATGAACCAGGTCTCTGTCCTCATGGAGAACGTGGTCTAGCAGGGAAGACAGACATTCAACAAAAAATTTCATTAATAATTTGTTTTAAGAGTTATAATGAAGAAGCAGAGGGTGTTGGAAGTCTGTATCATTTGCATCATAGATGTATAAGCAGTAAAATAGTGATTGAGCCACAGTAATCCAAGGAGATCAATGACAGAAAACAGTGGGAATGTGGATAGTTCATGAATATACTGGGAGGTGTTAGGGGGCAAACCACAATCCTAGAGAACCGAGGAACACTTGAGGATTTCTGGTTGGGACAGAAACATTTCCAACACTAGCTGAAAAGGACAAAGACAGAAAAACCTGGAATGAATGATAAACACTGCAACAGGTTTCTGTCTGGTGTCTAGTTTCTTTGGGAAGATAAGTACAGGACTGTCTAATGACTATGAAATAGTCCAAGTTCATCTTTTGTGTTCACCTCTTCCATTTGTTTTCCTTCCTTTCTTTAGTGGTTCTGAGATGTTCCTTTTGGACCATTCCAAAGTCAGGCTTGAAATCCTCCTCCCTAATGTTTCTTTCAGATCCTGTTCCAAGAAATCTTTGGACAAAGTCAGCTATTTGGCTTTTAGTAAGTAGAAAACTGAATTTATGATCGAATCTGATTACTCTTGGCATACTCAGCTACCGATTTATAATACCCCTTCCAGGCCTTAGTATTTTTCCTCCTTGCTTCTACTCCCTACATATGAAGTCGACTTAAAATGTCCCTTTGGAAACAGCAGGGTGCTGGACGGTCTCCATGTGCTCTCGTCTCCACCCTGCTCTGTGACCCCTGGAGGATGACCTTTATAGACTACATCACAGGCTCCCGTGCTCTCTCACTGGGCATAGCTAATGAGGGGCCAGTGGCAGGTACCCCCAAGAGACTGGCGAACTGGAGGACAAAATGGTCTGGGATTTGAATCCTCCGGTCGCCTCAGCGATGGGCTGTAGATCAGCAGATGCTGCGTCCCTCTACCCAAACCCGCTGTAGTGTGGTCTTCTCCTACAGCTATAGATCTTACCTGATTCTAGTAACAGCTCCTTCCTCTGTCCCTTCAGGCCTTGGAGTAAGAGCACCTTCCCCCTGTTCTACCCCTGCCCGGGTGCTTCATTATCCTTTGACGGATTCCCTTGACTTTGCTCACATCTTTACAAATACATAGTCCTTTACTAAACTTTTTCCGGTACAGGGAGGCTGACTGAAACAAGCAACAGTACAAAAATCAGGAACTCATATATATGGGATTTTATAGGATGCAAGGAACAAAAGATGTGCTATATAACAGGTGCATGCTAGAATGTTCTGAAGAAATTTTAAAAATCTTGGCAATCTAGTCAGTATCCAAAGGCCACAGGCTGTGTCCTTAAAAATTGTACCTGTACATCAATATTCCTCTTTCTCGTGCATTCATTCTTCCCCATTCACCATTTTCAAAAGCATCTTTGGCTGCTGCCACTGCTTTATCAACATCCACCAAAGAGGCATAGGATACTTTGCATATCGTCTATTTCAAGGTAGGAAAAAATAGGTTCTAGGTTATTTATATATGGAGATATGTTTCTTGGGATTAATTATTATACTACAAAATTCAAAGAATTTTTATGATGGAAAATCAATACTTCCAGTAATATAGTAAAGAAAAAGAAACAATTTTAACATGAAAATTATGAGCCTAAAATTTAGTACTTTGCATGTCACACTACAGTATGAGAAGACACATTTAGGAAACTGTATTTCTTCTCTTGCCTTGGGGAAGCTGAATTTCTCACCACGAGCTTGCAAAGTCTGAGATTTTTTTTTTCACACATATAGCTTTATGTGGAATTGTACTTCTGATGTGTATAGGTATAGTGATCCATCTAAATTCATCATAAATATTCAGTCTTTAAAGTTGGTTACTGTAGTTAACAGCAGCCAGTACCAGCAATGAATAGTTGAAAGAAATGCATGAAGTACATTTATATGAAGTGCTCAGGGGCAGAGTAATAGAATAAGTAACTTTTTAAGACTGTTTTATAAGTGTATAAATGAAAAAAATCCATGATCAGTGGTCACTACACACGCTAAGAAATTACTCACAGATCCATCTGTTGGGTTGATGGTGTCGTAAGTCTTTCCATCATCGGCATCTGTGAACTGTCCATTTATGAAACACTGATATGGCATTTTTACTGTCATTTCATTGACCTCCTTTGAAACCTAAAAGAGAGAATTATATTAATAGATTCAATGGATTTCTGTGCGTATGCATTTGATACCAAATAGCAATAAAGAAGCTTATTCACTAATGCGGAGGGAGGCGTTAAGTCAATGGGATTCTAGTGCTTACTGTCTAGAAGAGACAAGCGTATGTAATATTTAGGCCTCGTGATGCTTAGATTGGCCATTGAGACAGGTCAGCTTCTGTGATGACCGAAGTACTCTAGGGGGAGCTTTATAAAGATCTGTTTTCTTCCTCATAGAGATGAAATATGACTCAGAAGACCTCAAGATAATGGAAACACCACCATCTAGTGGCAACATCTGTGGAGTGCACCAACTACTGTCATTCAAAGTTTTGAAATTGCCTGTCAATAGGTTTCCTTTTACACTGGTGCCATTTTAAGTTTTCTTTCCAGTGTTCTTCCCCATTTTCACTTTCCCTCTCTTACATATGTGTTGCTTAAATTTTACTCTCTACTATTAGCTGGCAAGTGAATTTAGATTAGTCCATTAACCTCTATAAATCTCAGTTTTTTCAACAATAAAATGGGGATAATATGCCTGCTTCATATAGTTATTAAGAGACATAATTAAAATTATATATGTGAAAGAGCATTACTGGCATAAAATCACACATCAATGAAGGCATTAAAAAGGAAATTTAATGATTTCAGAAATTATTTTACATAGAGAAATTGATGATGCCTAGAAAAGAAACAAAAAATAGCACGAGGATAGCTTGCTGCTCATCATCAGTAAGTATTAGAGAAATACAAATCAAAACTACAATCAGGTACCACCTCACACGGGTCAGAATTGCCATCATTAAACAGTCTACAAATAACAAATGCTGGAGAGGATGTGGAGAAAAGGGAACCCTCCTACACTGTTGGTGGGAATTATATTGGTGCAGCCACTATGGAAATGGTATGGAGGTTCCTTAAAAAACTAAAAATAGAGTTGCCGTATGATCCAGCAATCCCACTCCTAGGCATATATCCAGACAAAACTCTAAATTTGAGAAGATACACGCACCCCAATGTTCATAGCAGCACTATTTACATAGCCAAGACATGGAAACAACCTAAATGTACATCAATAGATGAATGGATAAAGAAGATGTGGCATATATATATACATATACATATAAACAGTGGAATACTACTCAGCCATAAAAAAAGCAATGTGCAATAACTGAAATTTTAAAAGTCACTGGAGAGGTTCAACAGTAGATTCAAGCAGGCAGAAGAAAGAATTAGCAAACCAGACAATGGGTAAATAGAGATATCCGGTCTGAAAATAGGAAGGAAAAAGAATTTAAAAAATGAATAGAGGGACTTCCCTGGTGGTCCAGTGGGTAAGATGCCGCACTCCCAATGGAGGGGGCCCGGGTTCAATCCCCGGTTGGGGAGCTAGATCCCACATGCATGCTGCAACTAAGAGTGTGCATGCCACAACTAAGAGTGTGCATGCCACAACTAAAGATCCCACGTGCCACAACGAAGACCTGGCACAGCCAAAATAAATTTTAAAAACAAATAAATAAATATTTTTAAAAAATGAATAGAGCCGGGCTTCCCTGGTGGCGCAGTGGTTGAGAGTCTGCCTGCCGATGCAGCAGACACGGGTTCGTGCCCCAGTCCGGGAAGATCCCACATGCCGCAGAGCGACTGGGCCCGTGAGCCATGGCCGCTGAGCCTGCGCGTCCGGAGCCTGTGCTCCGCAACGGGAGAGGCCACAACAGTGAGAGGCCCGCGTACCACCAAAAAAAAAAAAAAAAAAAAAAAAAAAAATGAATAGAGCCTTAGAAGCCTGCAGAACACCATCAAATGTACCAACACATGCATAATGAGAGTCCCAGGAATGAGTGGAGAAGGGGAGAGGGGCAGAAAGAATATTTGAAGAAATAATGGCTGAAAATGTCCCAAATTTGATGAAAAACATTAGTCTGCACATCCGAGAAGCTCAATAAACTCCAAGTAGAAAAATATCAGAGATCCATCTTAAACACATCATATAAAAATGGTCAAGAGCCAAAGACAAAGAAGGAATCTTGAAAGCCACAAGGGAGGAGCAACTCATCACATAAAAGGGATCCTCAATAAAATTAACAGATGACTTATCCTCAGAAACCACGGAGGCCAGAAAGCAATAGGATGATATATTCATAGTGCTGAAAGAAAGAGACTGTCAACTGAAAATTCCACATACAGCAAAAATACCCTCCAAGAACAAAGGAGAAATTAAGTCATTCCCAAATGAATGAAACTAGCACATTGCTAGCACGTGAACATTGCTTGCACATGAACATTGCTAGCACACTGCCTTTCAAAAAGTACTAAAAAGTGTCCTTCTGGCAGAAATGGAAGGACACTAGACAGTAACTTAAATCTACATGAAGAAATAAAGAACACTGACAAAGGTAAATATAAGTCAGTATAAATGTATTTTTGTTTTTAAACCCTTTTCTTCTTCTATCTGATTTGAAAGACAACTGCATAAAGCAATAATTATAAAACTATGTTGGTGGGTTTATAATGTATAAAGATGTATTTGTATGACAGTAATAGCACAAATAAGGGGGTAGGGAGCAGAGCTATACTGTAGCAAATTTTTTCTACACTATTGGTATTAAGTTGGTATTAATCTGAGCTAGAATGTTTTAAGAAAAACGTCTCTTGGAATCCTCAAGGCAACCATTAAGGAAATAAAAATATATAGCAAAAGAGATTAAACTGGCATACTAGACAATATCCATTTAACAAAAAAGAGAGCAGTAAAGGAGTAGAGGAGCAAAAAAGGCAAAAAACAAGACATACAGAAGCCCAAGTGGCAAAAGAACAAACAGATTAATTGGACTTAATCAAATTTTAAAACTTTTGTGTGTTAAAGGACACTATCAAAAAAGTGAAAAGAAAACCCACAGAATGGGACAAAATATTTACAAATAATAAATCTGATTAGGGTCTAGTATCCAAAATATACTAAGGTCTCCTACAACTCAAAAATTAAAGACAAATATCCCAGTTAAAAAAGAAACAAGGATTTGAGGGAATTCCCTGGTGGTCCAGTGGTTAGGACTGGGTGTCCTCACTTCCAGCAGCCTGGGTTTCATCCCTGGTCAGGGAACTAAGATCTTACAAGCTGCTTGGTGAGGCCAAAAAAACCAAACCAAAACAAACAAAAGAAACAACGACAATGACCAAAAAAAACCCCAAAACAGGTGAAATATTTGAATAGGTATTTTTCCAAAGAAGACATACAAGTGGCCAATAAGCACATGAAAAGATGTTTATCATTAGTCATTAGGGAAATGTAAATCAAAACCAGAACAAGATATCACTTCACACCTGCTAGAACAGCTGAAAGAGAAAAGACAGACAATAGCATATGTTGGTGAGGACATGAAGAAATTAGAAGCTTTCTACGTTGCTACTGGCATTGTAAAATGGTGTAGTCACTTTGGAAAGCAGATGGGCAGTTCCTCAAAAAGTTAAACATAGAGTTACTATATGACTCATCAATTCCACTTCTAGATATTTACCCAAGAGAACTGAGAACATATGTTCACACAAAAACTTATACATGAATTTTCATAACAGCATTATTTATAATAGCCCCAAAGTAGAAACAGTCCAAATGTACATCAACTGAGGAAAGGATAAACAAAATGTAGTTTATCCACACAATGGACTATTACTTGGCTAGGAAAAAGGAATGAAGTGATAATTTACAATATGGATGAACCTTGAACACATTATGCTAAGTGAAAGAAGCCAGCTGCAAAAGGCCACTTATTACATAATTCCATTTATATGAAATGTCTAGAATAGGCAAATCCATAGAAACAGAAAGTAAGTTAGAGAGGAGAGCAGAGAATGACTGCCAAGGGATACAGGGTTTCTTTTTAGGAGGTGATACAAATGTTCCATAGGGCTTCCCTGGTGGCGCAGTGGTTGAGAGTCCGCCTGCCGATGCAGGGGACACGGGTTCGTGCCCTGGTCCGGGAGGATCCCACATGCCGCAGAGCGGCTGGGCCCGTGAGCCATGGCCGCTGAGCCTGCGCGTCCGGAGCCTGTGCTCCGCAACGGGAGAGGCCACAACAGTGAGAGGTCCGCGTACCGCAAAAAAAAAAAAAAAAAAAAAGTTCCATAACTAGATAGTGGTGATGGTTGCACAACTTGGTGAATATACTAAAAACCAATGAATTATACATTTTAAAAGGGTGAAATGTATGGTATCTGAATTATAATCTCAATAAAACTGTCATTTTAAAAAGGTTGTAAATGTAAAAACAAATGGATGAAAGGTACAGCATTCTTTTATAGTACGAAGGTCTTAACGATTTAGGTTTTCAACACCATGGACAGGCTTACGTAATCCACCACTAGCTCCGCTTCCTGATCTTCTCCTCTCAGTTTCCTCACGACTTTTTGGATGAAGTCTTCAAACTTGGTGGCCATATAAACATCCTCATTCTGTAACTGAAGTCCTCCACATTTCTGTCTTATCTCTTCAACCAGCCTGAAAGGAAGAACCAGCTCATGTTACTTACATTTTTAAAAGAGTTTAGAGGGACTGTGATTACATTTAATGTGCTTTGAAGTAGGACGTATGTCACATGCCTATTTATATCCCATGAGATCTTCTATGATAATAATCAGAGAAATTGATAAGATTGGGAGAAAAAAATTTTAAAGCTGTCTTGAAGGACAGTGGCAATTTTTAAACTTTTTATATATTTTTTTTAAATTTTATTTATTTTTGGCTGTATCGCATGGCGTGTGGGATCTTAGTTCCCCGACCAGGGATCGAACCTGCACCCCCTGCATTGGAAGTGCGGAGTCTTAACCACTGGACTGCCAGGGAAGACCCAGCAATTTTTTTTATACATGACTAGAAATACAAGAAATTAAGGCAAAGACATTTTAATTACTTGCAAGCAAGATGATAAAGGGCACATAAAATCGGTTTCTTTCCTTTCAAAATACTCAAGGAATAAGAAATAAGGAAAATTTCTGAACTGTGACGATTATAAGAAACCAAAGTCATACCGTAGAATATTTTCTCTAGATCCTGTGAAACAATAAAACAAACATTTGTTTGTATTACATGGCTAAGATAGGTACTAAATAGAACCATCGGGAAGGTTAATATAATTTGTAAAGTCCTTTTCAACCCTTTGATTTTTCACTGTTAATTTTTCAAATCATAGCTCTAATTTGACATTCCTTGAGTAGCAAAGGTGTACCAGACAGAGGTGTACTAGAAAGCTCACCACAGGGGTTGCTCAGCCATTTATTCCCTAAAAGAGATGAGGTGCCTTGATAGTCCAAGATAATAATATCAGATGATTATTGTAAGTCAGACACTCAAACAGGAAATGGGTAACTCCTGCAGGAGTACCTTGTTAGCAAAAAACTAGTGTTAAAAGTACAATGTTGAAATCTTTAGTTGAGCAAATGAGACGTTTCTGGGAACTCATGAACCATAGCTGAGAAATCTGTAACTTGAGGAACCAAAACTTTTAACTTCTGATAATGATATTTGCTCTTGAGAGGATTGTTTTTGATGATTGGAATAAAAAAGATCCACGAATGAAGGGACTTATCTTGTTCATGACTGTATCCCCAGTGCAAAAAACTGTTCCTGATGTCATAAATGTTCAATAAATTTTGTTAAATACATGAATGAATAAATAAATAGACAGAATGTTCATCAGGAACACTTGCTTTGCTGACATGAAGGATTGTCAAGAGGAGTTTACCTTGTTTATTTAGTAAATGGCCATAGTGTGGCCCTCAAAGAAAAAGCACCTCTGCAAGACTCGCCACTGTTAGGATCCTGGTCTGCTCTTCATGCCACAGAGGGTGGCTTTCTAGTCCTCTGGCCCTTTCTACTTGTTTGAAACCTCTGTAGAGAAATTCTGACCATAGAGTGATTACCCTTACTCTTGCAAGAAGTCTGGCAATCCTCATTCTAGATATATCATACCGGGTAACTTAGGGAGATAGGAGAAAAAGATTAGGGGCAGGCATAATCAGTGTAAGGTATCCTTTTAGGTGAGACTATATAGGGAAATCCCTTTTAACATTCTCACTCAGAAGTTCCCAATTCTAACTGGAGGAGAATCAACTAAGAATTATGAAGACAGATTTTTAAATGAAACAAATAATTAGAAGGGTTGTTTTCTAGGTGTATAGCAAATATGAAAATAACTCCTGGTTAGCAACGAAGAGAAGGGAACAAATACATGTATTTGACCATGGAAACAAACAAACCCAAAGAGATGAAGAAAAGAGAAATACAGTAGATGGGTACAATAGAGTGATAACAACCAGTACAAAGGATTTCGATTTGATTTTCAAAGTCAAAGTCAAAGTCGTCAAAATCCCTGGTGGAGGGGTATGAGTCAGTAAGGGGTATAGTAAATATGAAAATAACTCCTGGTTAGCAACGAAGAGAAGGGAACAAATACATGTATTTGACCATGGAAACAAACAAACCCAAAGAGATGAAGAAAAGAGAAATACAGTAGATGGGTACAATAGAGTGATAACAACCAGTACAAAGGATTTCGATTTGATTTTCAAAGTCAAAGTCAAAGTCGTCAAAATCCCTGGTGGAGGGGTATGAGTCAGTAAGGGGTATAGTAAATATGAAAATAACTCCTGGTTAGCAACGAAGAGAAGGGAACAAATACATGTATTTGACCATGGAAACAAACAAACCCAAAGAGATGAAGAAAAGAGAAATACAGTAGATGGGTACAATAGAGTGATAACAACCAGTACAAAGGATTTCGATTTGATTTTCAAAGTCAAAGTCAAAGTCGTCAAAATCCCTGGTGGAGGGGTATGAGTCAGTAAGGTGGTGGTTTTACCTGACAACATCCATTGAGCTTGCTCCAGATTTAAAGAAGTCTGTTGAATCTTCAATAACAGGGACGTTGCTTAAAATTCCAGCCCAGATGACCTGCACAAGGGAAACTTTTATGAGGGAGCTGCCATGTAGAGACACTGTGGCAGAGACTAGTTAGCTTCTCACCAAACCTACTTCTTTTCCTGGATTGATTACAATTCTCAGCATCTCTTCAAGTTAGAGGTGGCCGTGTGACTGACTTCTAGCCGGTGAATATGAATATAAGTGACCTGTACTCCCAGACTTGTCCCATGAAAAACCTCCTTCACACAATTCTCTGTGTTCTTGTGCTATTCTTGGCTGTCTGGGATGGAGATGACCCCCAGCAGGACCTTGAAGATAGCCCAGCCTGGGTTCCTGCTTGACTCCACCCCTAACCTTCATGTTCCAGCTTCACCCCTAACCCCCAGGCCAACCTAGAACTGCCTTGGATTATTTATGTGAGTGACAAATAAAGGTGCGTATAAATTTTGGCACTGATTTCCTTTTGCAGCTAATACGAAAAAGAGGGAATAAAAGTTCCATCCCAACTACTTTGAGGATTGATGGTACGAGTTAACAAAAATGGTTTCGTTTTCCAAGATAAGAGTAACATTAAGAACTCCACATGTTCACCTTGATGGTCTCCGCCACCTTCACCTCTTCTGCTGTAAGTTCCAACACTGATGTCTCACCCGCTGAAAAGTACTGAGAGGCAGGAATCATTTTTCCATCTTCAAACTGCAGATTTCTCACCATCAGCTATAAAATAACAACAAAACAAGCAGAAGAATTGAGGGTTAGGACAATTCAAAAGTGAGACTGGTGGGAGGAGTCTTATATGGGTATAAGAAGCAGCTTATTTGACAAATATAAAAATATGGATTAGGGCTTCCCTGGTGGCGCAGTGGTTGAGAGTCCGCCTGCCGATGCAGGGGACACGGGTTCGTGCCCCGGTCTGGGAAGATCACACACGCCGCGGAGCGGCTGGGCCCGTGAGCCATGGCCACTGACCCTGGGCATCCAAAGCCTGTGCTCCACAACGGGAGAAGCCACAGCAGTGAGAGGCCCGCGTACCGAAAAAAAAAATATATATGGATTAAAAGCACTCACCATTATGTGTAAAAGGACTGAAATGGTATTTCAGCCATGGCAGCAGAAAGGAGGAAGTTACGTCTATGGGTAGGTATATCTCAAAATGGATGATAAGCCCTCCCCAAATTGACATTCGGATATAGGTATTGGGTCTAAAGGCTACCGTAACTACCACTGCTACTAGTACAAGTGCTACTACTGCCATCTTTGGAACACTTACTCTGCACGGTGCTAAGTATGTATATGCTGAAGTATCTTATTCAATCCCACAAATCCTGATGGAGGCAGGTGTCCTTATTATCCCCATTTTACTGATGAGGAAATGGAGGCTCAACGAGATTAAGTACTTTGCCCAGTGCCACACAGTGAGTAACAGAGCTGGGGTTACAGCCCGGGACTAGATTGGACTCTGAAGCCTACAATCTTAGTAACTGATCTATCCTGTAAGCCATCAGAAAGTGTCTGTGAGCTACAAATGCCCTTTTACTTTCTTCACTGGGCAGCTGCCCAAGAGCCCAGAGAGGCCCAGAGTCCACGTTCCCAAGCACAGGCAGAGTGGGTGGGCGCCTGCCTGGTGAGGCAGAGGGGGGAGCCTCTGAAGAGGGCCACACCATCTGATCCTCCCAGACTCTGCCAGTGGGAAGGCAGACAGACAAGATCACTCTCTCTGTTTTACAGATGCGGAAACTGAGCCTCCGAGGGGAGAGGCGTCCTGCCCAAGACCAGTAAGTGGCAGAGCAGAGATTCACAACCTGTTTCCTGACTAAACTCCAAGATCTTTCTACTGTATCACAAACCAGGCTGTGCGGGTCCTCGGGGCCCGTCCTGAGAAGCCTTCCTCTCATCAAGGTACCTAGAGCCAGCTCATCCCCAGAGAGAAATGGAGCACAGACACCTTGAGCTCCCACATCCCACTGCAAAGCCAGACTATCCTGTGAAAGCTAGTCCCTCAATAGCTTGGGTTTATCAATAGAAACCAAAAAAGTTATTTTAGAGGTAACCATGTTGAACACTCACTGCTTTTCCATTGTTACCAAAAAGAACAAGGCCGCTTTTGGTAACAAGACCGGGCTTCTTGGCACCTTTAATTTCCAGTGGTTCTCCAGGAGGGATGGAGCTATTCAGTAATGATGAGCCGTAGAAAGTGACCACCTAATAAAGAGATCAAACCCAGGTTGTGAAAGGGGGAGGTGAAGGCTGGTTATAAGGGTGTATGCGAGCAGCAGTCCTGGCAAAAAAGCTGAAGTTGCAATTCTCATCTATGACAAAATTTGGGACCCCCCCCACCCCCAATGATATCAAGCATCTATGGAAATGACACAAAGCAAGAGACAGTCTGTGAATGTGTGATTGAAGAGTTTTAAAAAATGCCGCACATCCAGGTGACACGAGTATACGTTTATCATTTATGCACACTGACACAAAGGTGAATGAGATAAAAGCTCTCACAGACTTTGCAGCCTGAAGGTCGGGTTTGTGGGGGAAGCGGAGGTGTTGGTGGGGTATCAGGGATGCAGAGTAGTAAACAAACTATTATATTGCAGTGGGATGTACGATGGGAGGTACAGGTGCTTTGTGTGTCAGTTTATGGAAACAGGACTGGATCCAGACTGTAACTAAGAGAACTGGATACTAATTGATTTGTTGTTATAATTATTATTATAATTCTATGGCCATTAGCTATCATTTATTGAGCACTGTAATATTTAATAGTTATTGAATACTCATTCTATGCCAGGGACTAAGTACTTCGATGAATCAACGTGTATTAACTCGTTTCATCTTCACAACAACCCCAAACCTATAAAGGAGGCACTATTATTAGTCTCATTCTACAATGAGGAAACCAAGGCACCCCATGGTTAAATAACCTGCACCCAATGGTTAAATAAGCTGCCAAAGGTTACACAGCAAATAGTTGCAAAGCCAGAATTTTAATGGAAACATTCTGGCTTCAGATCCCACACTTTTTTGTGTGAGTATATCTGCTTTGTAAAATTGGGTATTATCAGTTGTGGTAAAATATATTCATATGCTATGATGATGTCACTCTAGTCTAAGATATACACCCAGTACTAACCATGTGATCAAGGGTACATGTGCAAGGATGTCCATGGTAGCATTCTTTATTTTTTTAATTGAAATATAGTTGATGTATAATATAAAGTCACAGGTGTACAATATAGTGACTCACAATTTTTAAAGGTTATACTCCATTTATATTTATAAAATATTGGCTATATTCCCTGCGTTGTACAATATATCCTTGTAGCTTAATTTATAAATAATAGTTTGTACCTCTTAATCCCCTACTCCTATCTTGCCCTCCAGCCCTTTCCCTCTCCCCACTGGTAACCACTAGTTTGTTTTCTGTATCTGTGAGTCTGCTTCATTTGTTTTATTCACTAGTTTGTTGTACTTTTTAGATTCCATATATAAGTGATATCATACAGCATTTGTCTTTCTCTGCCTGACTTATTTCACTTACCATAATGCCCTCCAATCCTACACTTTAAGCACTGCACTAAACCTCTTCCCTTGGTCCTTCGTTGATCCCACATATTTTTATTGACACCTAATATGCACTAAGAACCCTGTGTAAGTGCTGAGAGTATCAAGACAATAACATGATGCTCTTGCCCCTGAGGGGTTCACAGTCTACGGGGGTAAGAGGGATAGATACATAAAGAGATGCTTATAGTATATAATATGCTGTGTCAGAGCTAGGCAAGGCATTACAGGGACGCCCAATCCCGCCAGCCCGCGCGTGTGACGTCAGGAGACTTCCTACAAGAGGTGAAACCTGAGAAGCTGAGTTGAGTGGAGATCCCACAGGGATTAGAAGGCCTTTCCCGCCCCCCCCCCCCACCCCGCCCACTGCCCCTGCTGCATCTCTCCCCATGCCTCTCACACCTGATCCTCACACCTGGAGCTACAGCTTCACTGAACTCTACTGCGAGTCCCTGTCCAGGTAATATGCTCTCCTACCTCTGGGTCTTTAACTCTTTGACTCATTCTCTACCTGTTGACCTCTTCTCGAAGTGCAAGCAAAACAGTCAGCTTTTCTAGAAAGCCTTTCCTAAGACACCTGAGTCTGGGCCTCAGTTACATCATTTGTCTTACTTCATTGTGCGTGTTTATTCACTTCTCTGCCTTCTCCATAAAACTGCAGTCTTCCTGAGAGCAGAGGCTTTGCCTAGTGTCTGCTTCACACCAAATGCTCAATACATGGGGAGTAAAGAGGGAGGTGGTCACGTGTACCTAGAGCTCTTTTAGCTGGTCACGTGTACCTAGAACACAGACTCTCCTCACAACCAAAGGAAGAACCAGAGGAAGCCTAGACTTATGTGTAATACCTCTTACAAAGGTTATATGCAAAAAAAAAAAAGGTTCCTAGAACATACCTGTCCATTTATCTCTGTCCAAGCTCCAGGGACTTTATCATGACCTCGGATCCAGTTATGTAAAGCTTCAGCAGATTGATCCCAAGAGATCTAGAAATGCACAAAGCACAGGATGAACTTCTAATGCTGCAAGTCTCAAAGGCAATAGAAACATTTCTCTCCATCAGTGGCGGACATGAGTAGGGATGGGGTAGCAGCCTCCCTTGGAGATCTACCTTTTGGTAGGAAATAGTAAACTGAGAACTGCTTAAAGGTGGACGACAATAAACTCTGAGATGTGTTACTGAGTTGATATAAATACCTCAGCATTTTCCTTTTTCTGGATACCTTCATATGTTGCAGCTTCTTCTGACTGGGGCATGCGAGCAGCTTTTCCATCGGCTATGAGCTGGACAGCTTCCACCTAAAGCCAAAAATATTAACTGTGTTAGAGCCCAGTGGTCAACAATGGCATGGCCTGTTTAACTGAAGTTTCTGTTGAACAGAATTACTACATATAAATCTGTCCAGAGAGTCAGACTTTGATAAAAATAACTACCATTTCTTTGGATCCATAATTATGCCAGGCAGTGTGGTGGCTACTTTATGTAAAATATCCCTTGCAGCAACATACCAGTCCTACAACATGGGTATTATTAGTCCTGTTTTACAGATGAGGAAACTGAGGCCTCCAAAAAGCCTCAAGCTACTAGCTCGAGAAAAAGCAACTAGCTCAAGATCACAGAGATAGCTTGTAGGTGGTAGAAGCAGGATCTGCATCCAGGTCTATCTACTGCCAATATCCATCCTGTACTTTTTAAAATGACTCCTTTATTTAAGCAAATTTCAATCTCCCCTTGGTGTTTCAATGGAAGTTTCAGGAATATAATTGTAAAATAAGTCATTGTGGGTTATTTCTGCTCATGATGATGATTCTAGAAAGTCATATTTAAGGAATTCAACTGGCTTTCTAGCTTAGGACACCTGGAATTAAAAAACAATTAAAACTGCCCATGAGTTTGATTGCCTTTGGGATGTGTCCTACATCCCCTTCCATGCCATATTTATGTTTACCTTGAGTTGAGAGCCTCTCTCCTTCACTGGGAGACCTATGTGAGCTCAAGTTCTCAGTTTTCTCTCTAAGTACTCACAGCTGAGTACTCCAACCACCAAAAGAGCATGTGGTGGGAGCCACCTGGGAACAGGGCCAAGTTTACAGCTCATTCATTCCACCTATTTCTGGCTATAATATCACCAGGTACAGGATCCAGGCTTGCTCGAATGCTACTGAACACACAAAATACTATTTTGATTATAATGATCATTTTGAGCACCTATGTGTGCCAGATGCTTTACACAAACGTCATTTAATTTTCACAACAACGCTCTAAGTCAGGCAGTATTACCCACATTTTATAGATGAGGAAACCAAGGCTAAAGAGGGTAAGTGACCTGCCTATTATACAACAAATAAGTGGTAAAACGAGAACTACTCTCTTAATTGTTAAATGATACAAAGCACTGCTCTCCACAGAAGACATTAAATGACATTGAAATTATCTTTCAATGTTTTACAGGTTAATGTATTTTTTCTTTGTGGTGCACATGTTTTGAGTCTTTAATCCAGAGCATATCTGAACAAATAAAGCAGTGTTAAATTTCACCCTTTTACATAGACTGATTTTAAATGTTTTTGAAGAAAGCCCAAATTACATATCAAAATTTCTTAAGATTCTGCTGTTTCTTTACAATTAGCCATTATAAACAGGGTTGGAGATTCAAATATTTGGTAAAATGAACGAAGGAGTTTGATTACTACTTTATTCACTTGATCACTGTCCTCAGAAGAACAAATCAGATTCATAGACTAAGAAATTCTAAAGTGCAGATTTCCACCCTCAAAATACCATCCTACTGGCAAATATAAAATCTAATTTTATTTTGGGGCTTTTTATTTTTAGTACAAATTCACAGGAGCAAATTCTCAATAAAAGAAAAACTTTAAAGCGTTAGTAAATTCTCCTTGATAGCATAAATATACTGACCATGGCCTTGATTCCTTCAGGAAAAAGAAATCGATTATAAAGTGCATCCACTGTATCATTGGGTTCGACATCACACGACCTCTGGAGGAGGATGGGTCCTGTGTCTAAACCATCATCAGCCCAGAAAACAGAAAACCCAGCTTTCTTATCTCCCATGATTAGAGTCCTGGGAAAAGAAGAGTTTCAACATAAAATGTTGGTTAACTGTATCATAAGGTGATAAATTAGTGACATTAAAGTACAAGGTGTTTACAATGGAAAATAGACAGTGAATGAAACTATTGTGAAAATTACAGCAGAGCTGGGAGATGTAAACACTCAAAAAAAGCAGAACTTAATGGTACTGCTACTTTATACAACCTCATCTCTGTAGTCTTTCTTGTTAACACATACTAATGACTTATAGTCTACTCAAAAAGCCATTAGAGACCATCAGTACTATCCCTCACTGATTCCCAGGTGTCAGCTTTCTACTGCAGCATCAAGTAATTTTGCCCACCCATGTCCAGTTCCTACATTGTACCTGACCCTGTATTAGGCAGAATAAGATAATGGAAGATAAAACAGAAGATGATCAGTGCAATGTGAAAAGGAGAACTGATTATTAATTTAGGTTGTGTAATTCAGGTACAAGCATCACTTAGAGCTAGAATTAGTTCTAGATTAGCTATAAATTGTAGTAAAAGATGGTTGATTAATTCAACTATTTGTATTTTGTATTCTATAAATTTAGCCTAAGAGGAAATGCTGGCCCATACAGACCTTATAATACATACAATAAACCAGATATATGGAAATACATACATAAAAGAATATCAGAGAGCAGGCTAATATAGACAGAGTATGAACTGGTAGGTCAGCCATGCTCTCCATCTAATCATTTTTACCTCTCTGAGCTACTAATCAAGCAAGACCTAAGTCAATCAACCAACCAGTCAATCAACCACTCTTTTCAGAAATATTGAGGAATTAATTGGCATTGTGTTATCTAAGAGCCTTGAAAATATTCATGTATTTTGACCCAATGATTCTGCATGTGCAAGCAATGTGAACTGAGAAAAAAATACATGTTTAAGTACAAAGATATCCACTATAGTACTATTTACAAGAGCAAAAAAGAAATCAATTCATGTAATTGGTCTTAAAATACAATGAAATGCTTTTTTTACCACATTTAAACTAAGTATAGATTTTCTGCCTATCTGATAACTTGACACTAAGAGACAGCTGGGAGATGTGTAGGTAAAGAAGAAAAGGTAGAGAAGGTGGGAAAGGCCCACCTTGACCCATAGTATAGTATACCTATAGGACTGGGCACCTACAGTATACCAGGCAGTGTTCTTGATACTGGGACATACGGCAGTAAAAATGTTAGACCAGAGTCCTATTTCCCCTCAAGAGGCTTAAAGTAGAATGGGGGAAGTCACACCATGAGAAAGATAATTTCAGGTAATTCAGCATTTCCTGAAATGTACTTGAGATATTCTATGCAAAAAAATGTTCTACGGCCAAATAAGTGTGGGAACATTTTGTACTCGGATTCCCTCTTGGAGATTATGATGCCCACATTAAAGCACATATTAAAATTTCTGAGTCCTGAGATAAAGAAATCCAGCATAAACCAAACTTGACTAACCACAGGACCTTTGCCTGCTCAATACCTAGTTACATCTGATAGAGCCAATGCTCCATAGATTATTCTTGGGAAACGCTGTTCTGGCTTATGCAGTACCTCTAGATCTCAGGGGAGTTTGTGCAACAGTTGCAGTCAGTCGGGACCTCACAATTGTTCAAGCATACCTAGTTGCTTGATCACCTAGGTAAAGCACAGAAAGATTACAAGCAATGGGAATGGGCCCATCTTGGTTATTTAAAAAAATCTCACCAGTTGATAGCAGAGGCTCCTCTGTGTCTGGGAAGGATAGATGGGTGATAAATGATGGAACCATGCTTAGGGCTGTCAATTACATCCATGGGGATGAACTGTGTGCAGAAGGGAAGCACGTTTAGCTCAGCACCCACAGATCTGTAGGCCTCTGCCACCTCCTTTATGGTCTTGCCCTTGACTCTCCATCTAGGGAACTTGAACACAGGGGTCCCATTTTTCTCTGCAGCCAAAGCTGAGCATGAAAGAGAAGATTATTTTCATCAAAAAAGTTTTAGCCATAATTTTGTATTACTATGGATCCACACATTGTAATTTCATGAACCATTTACAAATAAAACATGATAAAGAACAATTTAGATTCTGACCAGGATTTGACATGATACAATTTTATCAAGATGCATCTATTTTTCTAATGTGATTTTTATCTATATAGTTAAGGCATAATATGATTCAACTCAGAAGTTTGTGGCTAGACAACGTTTTAAGATTTTAACTGAAGCTGCTTCTTTTATAGAACAAAAATTGTACCTTTATTACTGCTACAGCCATTTAAAGGACATTTGTTTGTTTGTTTCTTAAGATTTGGAGTCAAGTGCCAAAACATCATCACCCCAATTAGACGTAGCCTCTGGCACAGATGGAAAACCTTGATTCCCTTCCCACACCTGTTTCCTGGGGGGAAGTCCCTTTTATCACAGGGAAAACTGTAGACTGGAACACACCCTCCCCGCCAAACAGGCAGATCCCAAAAGATAAATGGGGAAAGTGATAGGGATAGAATAAGATAGTTACACAGCTAGAAATCCCACTAGGGGAAGATAGAGAGAGAGAGACTTCAGGAGATCACCATAAGCTAGACACCAACCAGAAAATGCCCAGACCATTGGGCAGCTAAGCAACAATCAGAACATTTTGAAACTAAACAGACTTACTTAGGCCAATACCACAGAAAAACAGATATAAGCCTGCATTCGGCCTTGGGAGGTCTGCAAGATAACAGACCCTGAGAAAAACTGCATTCTTACATGTAGCCAAGACAGGTAAACAGGTGAAAGGGGAAAGAAACTAGGTGGAAGGGGACATTATACCAAAACCTGAGACAAATTACCATATTTTAGTATATGTTACCACTCTTTTGCTAATATGCATATGATTCAAATAGCGCCATGACAGTCCCGGTTAGACCATGTAGGGTCAAAGGAGGAACTAATGATGTAAGCCTTGACATCTACACAAAATGAGGAAGAAGGTGGTCTTCTCCCCTCCCATTTTTTCTTTGACTATAAAAATGTAGCCCTCTGGGGACTTCCCTGGTGGTCCAGTGGTTAAGACTCGTGCTCCCAATGCAGGGGGCCCAGGTTCGATCCCTGGTGGGGGAACTAGATCCTGCATGCATGCCACGACTAAAGATCCCTCATGCTGCAACGAAGTTCCCGTACTCGGCAACGAGGATCCCCCACACCGCAAGCAGTGCTGCCAAATAAATAAATAAACATTAAAAAAAAAATGTAGCCCTCTTTGTTCTTGGGGCCGCACTCCCTTGCCGGCCTGCTTGTATCCCTCAAGCCTCCTATGCTAATAAACTCAGTCTTTGCCTGCCACTTTGCCTCACACTGAACTCTTTCTGTGCTGAGACAAAAGAACCTGAGCTTCAGTAAGTCCTGACACTAGGTAAGCGGTTTCAATGAAAAGACAGTGGGTTCAAGTCCCCTCCTAGGTCAGGGACTGTGGTTCAAGCCCTAGTCCGAGGTGTGGCTGGGTTTGAGTCCCATCTGAGGAGGAGTGTGGTTTCAAAAGTAGCTGAGTTGAGCTGCGTCTGTCTAGTTCCTTCTCCTAAATTCGCCCATAAGATAAGTTAATGGAGGAGAGAGGCCAAGAGTGGAGAATCCGTGCTCCCCGTAAGGGTTTGCCGTACTGAAGCAGATCCCAGGCTCTTTGCTCAGGAAATGTTGTCCCTTCTAAAAGGAATGACTCCTTCCTACCTCTGTGTGAAATGGAATGGCCCTCCAAAGTACAGACAGCACAAGCCCATTTTTTCCATAATAAAATAGCACTTTTATTAACTATATACCTTACATATATTAAGTATATATATATATTTATTCTCCATCAATAACACAAAGAAACTACATTTTCGGCAATATCCAGAAGTCTTAACTAAGGCACCTTACCTGCATGTTCTGGCTTTCTTTCCTTTCTCCCCATCTAATCATCAACATTCATAGACTCTGGAGGGGATGATGCCTCCATGAAGCCTAAAGGCCAAAGCCTAACAAGTCCTAAAATGGCCCTGGCCTTCAAGGTGATGCTTTAGTCAATCCAATTGGGAGAATCTGAGAGACCAGTATAATAATGTTTACAAAATGTAAATGTTCCTAAAATGTTCAAAAAGCTGTGAACAAAACAAGATGTCAGATGATAGGAAAATGGGTAAATGGTGGTGAAAAAAATGTGGTGAGGGCTTCCCTGGTGGCACAGTGGTTGAGAGTCTGCCTGCCGATGCAGGGGACACAGGTTTCGTGCCCCGGCCTGGGAAGATCCCACATGCCGCGGAGCGGCTGGGCCCGTGGGCCATGGCCGCTGAGCCTGCGCATCCGGAGGCTGCGCTCTGCAAGGGGAGAGGCCACAACAGTGAGAGGCCCGCGTACCGCAAAAAAAAAAAAAAAAAAAAAAAAGTGGTGAAATTGGGAGAAAATTGTGAAAGGTTAGACTGGGAAAGAAAAATGGGGTGGAAGAGACTTAGAAGTCTTCATTTGAAAAATCCACTCCACTGAGACAAGCTTAAGCCATTCAGGTGTTGCTCCCCCATATTGATTTTTGGCTGCCCCAGGACTATTTTTGTTGCTCTAGTTGACTATACTGACAACAAAAATCGCCGCTGTCATTATTAATCCTTTTTATGCATCAGGTGCCGTGCTGAGCAGTTTACATACATTATCTCGTTTAATCCATGTGAGATGGGTATCACTGAACTAAGCTTAATGAGTTTAAGTGACTTGTCCAGGGTCACACAGCTATCAAGTGGCAGATGATTCTAGAACATACACTGTTAACCATATGCTGGGACCAGGCACCAGGGAAAAGTTCATTTCCCAGGAAACACTCTGAAAGGAGGTGTAAGAGTCACATGCTTGCAATTCTGAAGTTCACTGTACATGGTAGAGACTCTTAGTTGCCCCTTTCCTCCTTTACCAAGGATTCCTCTACTTTAGATGAACACATGGCCACCCCAAATAAAATCTGTATTTCTCAGCCTGTTCTGCAAATAGATTTGGCCTATGACTAAGTTCTAGCCAAGAGGATACAAGTGGGAGTAATATGTAAAACTTCTGGATTATTCCCTTAATAAAGGCTTGCCCTCTGCTTCCCATCTTGCCCCTTCTGCTTGCTGGAATGCAGAGTTGATAGTGGGGGATGAAGCCACTACCTTGGACCATGAGATGGAAGCCCAGTGTTGATAATGGCAAGACAACAAACTGAAGGAGCCTTCATTGTGATAAATATCTGGCTGCCACAACAGCTGTGATGGTCAATCCAAACTTGAGAAAGGGACTTCTATCTTATTTAAGCTAATATTATTTGAGGTCCTCCTGATTCAACAGCCAATCTGATACCTCAAATGTAAGTCCTTCCAAACATCCCACACACAAAGCTGGTGGGAATAGATAATGATGAGACAGATAGTCCCAGTGATGGGAATCTGTCCCCTTCTGCCCTTGGAGCCAGGTATGAATTCATGAGGCAGATTCCCTCAGAATTTCCCAGGTTGAGATAATCTTTTGCTGAAAGACGGATAATTTCTAAATCAAGTGGTTAAATCCATGTGCATATGTGCTCTTGGCCCAACTCTTTTTTAGCTTGACTCTTTTTTTTTCTTCCAGTTTTACTGAGATATAATTGATATATGACACTGTGTAAGTTTAAGGTGTACAGCATAATGATTTGACTTACATACATCATGAAATGATTATCACAATAAGTTTAGTGAACATCCATCCTCTCAGACAGATATAAAATTAAAGGAAAAGAAACAAATTTTTCCCTGTGCTGAGAACTCTAGGAATTTACTTTCTTAACAACTTTCACGTATAACGTACAGCGGTGTGAATTATATTTATCATGCTATGCACTATATCCCTAGTCCTTATTTATCTTATAATGGGAAGTTTGTACCTTTTGACTGCCTTCATCCAACTACCCCAGTAACAAGAACTAGAATAAACCCCAGAGCTGATTCCTCCAAGAAAGAAAAGTAAAATTTTAAGGTTATTACAGATATTGTTTCCCAACCAATGTATTGCATCACACCAGTGATTTATAAAGATTCAAGTCATAAGTCATGATTTCTAGAGGCTAGTTCTTATTCCCTACCTGTAGACTGTTTCTTGCACTCTTTCTCAACATAACTATAGCGTGCAAATCAGAATCACGCTGTAGGTTTGCTCTGAGGATGGCTATTTTCTTTACCTACCTTAATAACCAAGCAGTCATAGCTATAATTTGTTCTGAGATAAATGTATTCTTTATGACCCCACATCAATTGCTATTGTTGAGTGTGGCCTCCCCTGCATTCCTATCGGCACCTCTGCAACAGACATTACTCTAGATGTCCCATAGCACCTTTGGAAAGTCACAAGTGTAATTCAGGAAAAACACATGCTTGGAAATTCCTCTGAGGGACCTGGTGATTACCATGGAGGTAAGTGGAGAAACTTAGTAAAGTAGGGGCCGGCATCTTTGTCTTGAGGCCCACAGAGAAGGGAGTTTCTGAGTCTGTATCTGCCACACAAATAGACTTGGCCTAAGAAGGCTTTCAACAGGCAGAGTGGAGGCCAGTGCAGTCCTTGATCCAGTTGTTCCAAGATATACTCACCCAGTGGGTCAGCTTTTCCATCCTTATCTGGAACTGTGAACACTCCCACAACTCGGTGGCCCTCTTTGCAGAGGTGGCTGTAGACTTCTTGTCCAAAGAGGCTCTGACCAATAAGTGCCACCTTCAGCTTGTTTTTGAAATAAACCTGTGAAGCAATTCAACAGTGACAGGTATTAGTATGGATAGAAGACATATGGATAATAAACACTCTTTTTTTCAATCATACAAGATGACTTGGGCATTACAAAGGCTCAAAGATCTACACAGTAAAATAGTTATTGACATACACTGAACTCAGACTACATGCTATATAGGTAGCAGTGAAAATAATTTCACACCTAAGTATTCCTCATTTTCCCTTTGCTCTAACTCCCTTGATTACTCATTATAATCATTGGGATTGCATATATTTTTACAAGGCATTTCAACTCCTTGATGAAATGAGGCCAGATGTTAACAAATAAGCATAAGTTTCATAGTTAAAAGGGGCATAATTCTGAGCAAGATCTACTCCAATATTGACAATGCTGTTATGTCCTGCAATTTTTTATGCCCACCTCCAAAAGATGCCAAGAGCTAACATCTAGTATAACATCAGCGTCAAAAGCAGATCCTAGACTACCTGAGGTCAAACCTAGGGTCACCCACCCCTTGTTAGTTGTATGACCTTTAGCAAGTAACTAACTTCCATTTGCCTTTTATTCTCCTCATCTGTAAAACTGGAATAACACCAACTCACACAATTCTGATTGAGGTAGATGACAATATGCATTAGGCTTAATGCAGTGTCTGACACAAAGCACTGTTTAAGGAAAAGCTTTAATAATGTTTTAAAGGCTTTCCTATATACTAGACAATTCTATGTTTTTTCACACGGTCCAGAATTCTACAGTCCTTGGTAAGTGGCATAAACTCATTTGGTCTTAAGACGTGGACTGAACTAATGAAATGTTCTTTATAGTCCTTGTAGGTTTCTTATAAGTTAATGCAGTCATTTGGCTTCAAACTTGACCACTGATAATGCCACTTACAGTCATTACTTATAGTATATTGTAATTTGTTGCAGAAAAGTCAATGTGGGGCTTCCCTGGTGGTGCAGTGGTTGAGAGTCTGCCTGCCGATGCAGGGGACACGGGTTCGTGCCCCGGTCTGGGAAGATCCCACATGCCGCGGAGCAGCTAGGCCCATGAGCCATGGCCGCTGAGCCTGCGCATCCAGAGCCTGTGCTCCGCAACAGGAGAGGCCACAACAGTGAGAGGCCCGCATACCGCAAAAAAAAAAAAAAAAAAAGTCAATGTGCTTCATTACAGATACTATCCCAGACCCTGCTGTAAATTGTGCGTAAGGTCCTATATACCATATTGACCTTCTCAAACGTAAATGATTCTGAACCCCACATTTGGCCCCACAGATTTCAGATAAGGAATTGAGGGCTGCACATAATTTCATTTATTTTAATCCTCACAACTATCCTGTTTTCTTATCCCCCATTTTGTACCATTTTATGAATGAAGAAACCAAGACTTAGAAATATCAAGTATATCTCCAAGGTCATACTAGCAAAACAAGGGAGAGGTAGGATTTGAATCCAGGGCCATCTGACTCCAAAACCCGCGAATGTACTTAAAAATAAAATGAGCCACTACTGCCCATCTCTTCCATCTCCTTTTTTAGAACATTAACACTGATGCACAAAAATGCAGTGATTGTCAATAAATGTAAACACCACATAGATAAGAGTGGCACTAAAGGAGTTAAAGTTTTTAAGGACTGTCTTTAAGCAATTATGCCTTCTGTAAATTCTCCCAAGATGAAACCTTTTCACAAAGCTTAAGGTAACATGTTGACATGATGATTGTTAAGATGGTGATGAAGGGCCACCAGGTGAAGCAGGCTAGTTGCAGGATTGTGCATGTAGAGGTAATCAGAGGGTCACCACCTCCTATGAGCTTCCCATCTTGGCAAAGAACCAACCCTAGCTCCCCAGAGTTCTTTCCATCTTTCATTCCTCCACGTTAGAATACGTCTCCACAGGATTTGGATTTAGAATATTTTTCCTTCAATCTAAATGGGATTCATTAATGTTCCAGAAAGTCATTCTAACTTAGTAAAGCCTCACTGTTAAAATCTGACTATGAGGAAAACAATTTTCCCTTATTTCCCACTTTCTTAAGGGCATAGATGGCATCCCTTTTTAGGCATAAACTTAAAAGCCTACAGGTTCAGGGACTTCCCTGGTGGTGCAGTGGTTAAGAATCTGCCTGCCAATGCAGGGGACATGGGCTCAAGCCCTGGTCTGGGAAGATCCCACATGCCGCAGAGCAACAAAGCCCGTGCACCACAACTACTGAGCCTGCACTCTAGAGCCCACGAGGCACAACTACTGAAGCCCATGAGCCACAACTACTGAAGCCCGCACACCTAGAGCCCGTGCTCTGCAACAAGAGAAGCCACCGCAATGAGAAGCCCGCGCAACGCAATGAAGAGTAGCCCCCTCTCGCCACAACTAGAAAAAGCCCGCGTGCAGCAACAAAGACCCAACGCAGCCAAAAAAAAAAAAAAAAAAAAAGCATATGGGTTCACATCTTCCCTGTGAGCTGAAAATTAAACAATTAAGGTTTTGGTATAAAAATTCTTTCCCATGGCCAGCCAAAGTTTCTATCCCCAAAGAGCCTAGAGCTTCAACATCTAATAGATTCTTGCAAACAAACAGACTAACTCTGTAAGAACAGCACAATTTGCCTGCAGATAATGCATGACTATTTCATTTCCTCTCATCAAAAATATCAAAATGTTCTGTAAGTATTCTACCTTAAAATCCTATAATTAATGCTGTTGCTTGAAATAGAACTGACCTGACATGTTGGCTATCTTACAAAATTTGGCTTTACCTCATACCATTACCAACACCAAATATTTTAAGACTTCTAAAATTATTAGTCTTAAAACATACAAGAGCCAAGAGGATGAGCTGACTCAATTGTAATGTGCTCTCAGCTGTCATCTGGTTATTGGGAGTTCAATTCCAGAGTCAACACTGCCCCAGAAAGACAGTGTTTAAAGAAACCATGTCAGTATCTCTGGAAATTCTACATTCACTGAAACACTTTCTGAGCTTAGTGGTAAAACTGAAACTATAAAGGTGAGTTTCTAGCAGTGAGAAAAATTTCAGAGTTTAAGTATTTATAATGAGTTAGTATAGTTCCAAAGAACTGGACTGGGATATTTAACCTTAGTCTTATTTTCTCCAAGTATGATCTGAGGGCTGACTGCCCGTGTTGGCAGAATCAGCTGGGAGGAAATGTTAAAAATGTGGTTTCCTGGGCTCCATCCCTGATCTACTGAGTCAGACCGTCAGGAAGCTGGCACTAACTCAAAAGCATATGAGGAAGTTTGGATCCTGCCTCTGCACTTTATTAGCCCAGGAAGCTGCATTTGAACAAGCTCTCCATTGATTGACAGGCACAGTAAAGTCTGGGAATCTCTGCTATACAGAGTGTGTGTCCGCCCCCTACAAAAACGATTTTGCCCTGGGGAGTTTGGGTCAAGGAAAAAGTGGTGGAAGTAGTAGCAAACAGCTTAAGGAGACCCAGGTGTGTGTCAGGTATTTAATATGTGTCGCCCAATGACTCCCAAGAGGCAGACATTAATAAGCCATTTTACAGATGGCTTTACAGATGAAGAAACTAAAACAAAGAGAGGTTAAGATACAGCCTGGGGCTTCCCTGGTGGCGCAGTGGTTGGGAGTCCGCCTGCCAGTGCAGGGGACACGGGTTCCATCCCTGGTCCGGGAGGATCCCACATGCCGCGGAGCAACTAAGTCCATGCACCATAACTACTGAGCCCACACGCCACAACTGCTGAAGCCCGTGTGCCTGGAGCCCATGCTCTGCAGCGGGAGGGGCCGCCGCAGTGAGGGGCCCACATGCTGTGGCGAGGAGTGACCCCTGAGAGGACCCAATGCAGCCAAAAATAAAATAAAATAAGTGAATAAAAAAAAAAGAACAAAAGGGTTTCCCTGGTGACGCAGTGGTTAAGAATCCACCTGCCAATGCAGGGGACGCGGGTTCAAGCCCTGGTCTGGGAAGATCCCACATGCCGCAGAGCAACTGAGCCTGTGTGCCACAACTACTGAGCCAGCATGCCACAACTACTGAAGCCCGCGTACCTAGAGCCCGTGCTCCGCAACAAGAGAAGCCACTGCAATGAGAAGCCTGCGGGCAGCAGCAAAGACCCAACGCAGCCAAAAATAAATATAAATAAAATAAATAAATTTATTTAAAAAAAAGAAAGAAAGAAAATGCATGGTATTAAAAAAAAAAAAAGATACAGCCTGGAGTCAAATCACTACTCAGTGGCAGCTCTGAGATTCTAATCTAGTTATTACCCCAGTGCCATTGTTTTTCTATAACACCAGGTGTGCTACCTTGAGCTCAGCCTCATCAATTAAAATCTGAATAATAATAGTACCTATCTCATAAGGTTGTTAGGAGGATTTAGTGGGATAAAGTATGTAATGCATTAGTGCAGTGTGTGGCAATAACAAAGGCTCAATAAATGTCAACTAGTATCATTATTATACCACAAGTAATGCCCAGGTAAATAAAAATGATGATAATGGATCTTTCCTACTGGGAGTGTACCATAAGGCAGGCACTGTATTGAGCCTTTTTCACTGATTAAAAAAAATGTATCAAATCCTTATCATATGTCTTTAAGCCTTACTGTGATCCATTTTACAAATGAGAAAACATAGGGCTCGGGGAAGTTAAGTAACCTGTCCACGGACAGGGCTAATAAGGGGCAGAGGAAGGATTCAAACTCAGATCTGTTTCGCTTCAGCAGATGTGCTTCTATGGCTTTCCTATGTTGATGGTTCCCCCACCCCTTCTTTTTTAAAAGGAAAATTTGGTGATAGTTTGACAGGTCAATTACGGGAAATAGTTCCATCAGACTTTCTAAGGGAATATCATGGTGGTCCTGACATGGGAGACAGCACCATTCATTAAAGGGTTAGGCTGATGACCAGAGAACATACTTTAAGGCACTATCAGTGTCTTGTTATATTGGTGAGAAAGCAGAAGGGGGCATAAAATGACCCACAGCATTTCTAAATCTGGGTGATAAGTGCTGTTATCTTGGGGTTCTCTAGAGATAACATTCTGCATTAGAAGAGCCTTTTGCAGGGAATAGAGCTTTTGTTTCTTAAACTATCAAATATTGCATTCCCAGGCTATCCACATCCTGATGAGATTCTTCAGGAAGCAAGTTAATATGGACTCTGATTATGTTCCAACGGTTTAAAGAAAAATACACACAGTCTTCTCTGGAGAACTTAAAGGCACAGTGCTAAGAGTCTGTGCTGATCCGAAGCCCTTTTGTGAAGCAGATGTTACCTTAACAGAACCAACAGAGCAGGATGTAAAATAAGGTCAAAGCTGTCCACATTAGCAATTGTGAGAACTGGCAGTTTTCCCAATGAGAACTGGAAAGGAGAAAGGACCTTCCCACAAAAGAATAAAACAAAATAAATTTTTCTGAGACACTGAGATGCCTAACTCTTAATGGACCATTTGGCACGTGGTTCCCCAAATCGTGCCTGATGGTGCGCAAGATCTGTTCACCAAGCATGTTTTGAGCATTTGCCAAGCTCTGGGCACAGTGCATGGTGGGGCTGCGATCAGCGGCCGGGCAAAGAGGATTTTATTTGGCCCACAGAGCATCTGCAGAAGAACTGTGATAAGATTTTTAGGAGGTTTCACATTAGCAGGCTGAATTTCTGACTTCTCTTTAAAAATCAGGAGGTTTGTCAACCATGGTTGACATTCCCATGTGAAAACGGTCGGCTACAGCTGAGCAGGGGCTGCTCCCTTTAACTCTGAACTAGGCCTTTCACTCCTTCCAGCCCAAATGCTACATTTGTTTCATCTGTTTGGCCTCGGGGGCTGGGGGCGGTTGTTTTGGATCTGTAAGCTGAAGGCACAAGAGTAGTCCCTGCCCTAGTTTGGTTGAGTGTCTTTTCATATTTTATTGCCCACTTGTATTTCCCTTCCATTATTATCCTTTACCTAAAGGCAAGTTTAATCATTTGTCCCACTAATCTGTGGACTCCTTGAAAGCAGGGACTATTTATCTCTTGTTTATTGTTTTATCCTTTTTGGCTGTGAGACTCTAAAAAAATTATGTCACTTCTCTGGGTCTCAGTTTCCTGATTTGTAGAATGGGCATTATAATAGTACCCACTTCATTGAGATGTTATGAAGACTAAATGAGTATATGTAAAGCATTTATAACAGTGCCTGGTGCATACAAAGTCTTATATCAATGATACCTATTATTATTATTATGATTATTATTTCTTCAGGATTTAGATGAAGTGCTCAGTACATAATACACAATTTAATATGGTTTGAAGTTGAATCTGAAGGTCCTAAATCAAATTAGATGCCAATGCAGAGGGTCAGGCAATAAGGAAACAAGTTAAAGACCTGCTTGCTAGAACTAAGGTATAAAGCCAGTACTTGGTTTCAAGAAGCAGGGAAGGGTCCAGCCTCTTGAATTGGATCATAAAGTAACCTTAAGTCCTGGAACCAGGCTATGAATCCAGAGCAACGTCCAGGCTTGTCCCAGACACTGGCAGAGGAAATAACAGCTAAATAACATTGTGCCAAATAAATATTAAGGCTAAATAGCTCCCACCATCGGGAGAAATTAAGAAGTAGTGAGCCAGGCAAGATACTGGAAGTGGACAATAATAACTAATTGACAAAGGGTCTTATTGCTATATATAGTTGCACTAGTTAATAAGATCCAGTTATATCATTAAGCTGAGATCATTAAATATTTCTAAGTCCATTTCTTTAAGACAGAGAATGGAAAAATTAATTATATCAGGAAGTGTTATGAACTAATTTCCTCCTTGGATTTTGTTAAGTTCTGAGAGATTTTTTTTTCATTCCTCTTTCATTCTGCTTTAATACCAAACTCAAAAGCGCTGTGTGATTTTAAAAAATTTTTTTCATACGAAGGTACAATTTACATACAATGAACACACCATTTTCAATGTAAAATTCTTTCAGTTTGGACAAACACACAGTCATGTAACCACTGTTACAATCAAGATAAAGAACAGTTCCATCACCCCCCCAAATCCCCTCCCATCCCTTTGCTGTCAATCCCTCCCCCTATCTCCAGCCTGGCCTTTTTTCCCATCACTTTAGGTTTACTCTTTCCAAAGTGTCAGACAAATGGACTCATATACATATGCAGCCCTTTGAGTCTGTCTTCTTACACTTAGCATACATATTTGAGTTTCATCCATGTTGTTGTATATATCAGTAGTCGATTCCTTTTTTTTTTCGGAGTAAGATTCCACTATATGGATGGATATACCAGTTTGCTTATCCTGCCACCAGCTGAAAGACATTTAAATTGGTGATTATGAATAATCCCTTTGTAAACATCCATAAATAGGTATTTGTGTGAACATAAGTTTTAATTTCTCTTGGGTAAATACCTATGAGGGCAACTGCTGGGTCATTTGATGGGTTTATGTTTAATTTTATAAAAAAAAAAAGTCAGTTTTCCAAAGCAGCTGTACCATTTTACGCTCCCACCAGCCACGTCTGATTTTGAACAATTCTTATAGAACACGGTCCAAAGGATGAATCTCCATTTTCTATGGAGTAAAATATCCCAAATTCTTCACTTATTATTCCATGTCTTCCTTTGGCCATTGAAGAACCTGCCTTCTTCCCAGCCATATGGCACTGCTCTCCCACATGTATTCCTGGAGATAGACTCAGGCCCCTGACCCCTGACCATACCTGGCACTTCCCCACAAGAGTGTTTTTGTTTATGCCATTTGCCACCTGGGATGTTCATCTTTTATTACTGAAATCTTATGTAACCCCATTATTGGCATTTTTTCAGAAGGAATCCCTTCTGCTCTCCAAAAAAAGACAATTAAATGAAAGGTGTTGACAGAGGAGGCCAATAAAACAGGCATGCACAAGCCCCTTGTTCTCTGTGCCATCCAATCCAGATTCCCATGTGCCACGTGGCAGGAGAAAGCTAAGGAGTCCAGAGCTCTGCATAGGAGAGCAAGCAAAATATCTGCCAGAGCAAGTTTCTTTTTGCTTATTTAAAAAAAGGTGAATACTCCCAAAATAACTAGAACTGACTGCATGGGATAAAGTGAATTCTCATTACTTGTGGCTGTCTGGGGGACAAAAGCTTTTTTCCATTTATGCAACTTTGGGCCAGTTCTTGATGCTACTCAAGACTTCTCTCTGCTCCAAGTTTTTTACATCTGGATATGTACACATGCACATACGACTTTGGCAGAGAAGAGGAATCAAAAAGCAAATTCTTTTATAACACAGCAAACATGCACTTCCTGTAAAAGAGATGATGTACATGGGGTGGACTTTTTCTTCCCTACA